CAGCCAGAGCAATGGCCCCATCATCTTCAATTCTGTTGTATGCCAAGTTCAGTACTTCAAGAGGAGTGTTGCTCTTCAGAAGGATAGCCAGATGTTTGGCACCATCTCTTGTGATGTTGTTGCTGTGTTGAGGGGATAGAAATGAAAGGTCACATCATTCAAAAGATTTTATTACACAGCTGGGCATGTCCTCTGAGCCACCAATATAACAAGAGTTACATTGAAAGTACCGCAATTGTGTTTGATGCTTATACCATAAATTCTATCAGTAAATTCATTTTACAGAAAACAATGCCTGTAAGTTGCTGCACAATCATATGATTACAGCCTTCCTGTCAGGATGAATTTGTAGTAGTATTAATTCTCCATCTTAGTTACTCATGTGGAGGTGTGGTGGCCTCGTGGTTAGTGCGCTCGACTCCAGATCAAGTGGTCCAGCTTCCAGCCCTGGCTGGGGCCATTGTGTTGTGTTTTTAGGCAAGACACTTTACTCTCACAGTGCTTCTCTTCACCCAGGTGTACAAATGGGTACCAGCAAATATGCTGGGGGTAACCCTGCGGTGGATTAGCATCCCATCCAGGGGGGAGTAGCAATACTCCTAGCCACTTCATGCTAAGGAAACCGGAGTTAAGCGCTGGCCCCATGGGTCATTTGGGCCTGTATAAAGGCTTTACTTTTTTTACTTTAGTTACTCATGATTACCTTCTTAAATCCAGGTGTGTCAGTGTTAAGTTATCTGTGAGGTTTTCCTTCAATCTCTCAGCACCAAAGTCTCTCATGTCATAATGTGTTAGGTGGATTTCTCGTAGTCTCACATTCACTTTCAGCATTTTGGCCACGTGAACTGTAGTTTCCTCCTGAAAATTACCAAATTAAAGTAAACATTCTGAGCAAATTATTTATAGATGAAAAAAACAGTGAACATGTGTTTTATGGTATTTCTCAACAGACCACTGAAAGTAAATATGAAAGTGATCTTCAGTAATGAACACTACTTGAGCAGTAGTGATTAAATAAGGCCTGAAAAATGTATTTCTGTATGGGATTTGAACCCATGACCCATGACCCATGACTGATGCAGTGCTCTACCAAATGTGCAAAAATGGTGGAACAAGCTAGATTTTGCCATCTGTATTGTACATGAGCTAAAGCATATAAAATACAGATTTATAATATGTAATTACTATCTCACCTGACGGGTAAAGAGTACAGGTCTGTTCAAATTCACAGATTTTAATGTGTTGTTCAAGTTCAGTACAGTGGTCATGGCTATTATGCTTTCTATCTCCTGCAAGAGAATGATTCCTTTGGTAATTTTAAAAAAATCAAACTTTGGGTTGCAAATCAATTTAAGGAGCAATGAATAACCAGTTTTTAATTATTTTCCTAGAACAGGCTGAGTGTTGCTGTGCAATACCAAGAGTAAAACTCTTTAATGATGTCCATTACCTGGTCAGTTTCACCAAGATCAAGTTCCTCTAGCATTGTGTTTACTTGCAGAGCTCCTGCAATGGCCATTCCACCTTTGTTTTTTATTTTGTTGCCATTTAATCTCAGTTTACCAAGGGTTTCATTGACCTGAAATTGTACACAAAGTATTGATACAACCATACCCTTAAATCAGCGGTCAACAGTCCACATTTGTGGTACCTAAAAGAGACATTTTTTGATAGGGGCCATATTGATTGACTGGGAGCAGGATAGATATCAATAGAGCCTTGCATCATTTTCTGTCTGCTGCTACACTAATACTTATTAGTTTTCAGTTATCTCATTTCATTTTGATTCTATTTTTTAGCTGAATTAACTCATAAAGATTTTAAAATTACCTGCAATCCTTTTGCAATTGCCTCACCTCCAGCAGGTCCTATGTCATTGTAACTCAACACTAGCCACTGAAGACAAACTGTCTCCTGTAAAATAGAAAATCGCCTATTTAACTGACATTGATGTCAGTTACCTGTGCCTCAAAAGGGTTCATTGCAGTAGTATTTTTTTAACAAACAGAAAAAGTAATTCTCAGATCAATCTTACAAGTGAAGATTGTTTGTTTTATAAACTTATCATAAGTTGATAATCAAATTAACCACCGCACTGACAGTTAATCTGGTGTTGACTTTTCAAGCATTAACCCTTGTTTGTTCCTTCTGATGAAGGAGTAATGCTTAACCCATAGAAACTCTTCAAGGTGGCCAATTAACACATCAACTCAGTTGATAAAATCAAATTATCAAGTGTATTACCCACCCCACCAATGCAGCATGACAGTTTCTTTAGAAACTTACCCCCTTTAAAATACTACTAAGGATACTCTATGTCACCCCTTGATTCATATCAGTCTTATTCATCACATTCAAGAACCCCTAAACTTATGGAATATGAAATGTTTTTTCTTCTTGTATTATTATTATTATTATTATTATCATTATTATTATTATTATTATTATTATTATTATTATTCTACAAAATAACTGAGTCATTTTCAAACTATACCTGGAGAAGTTGACTTATCAAATTGGCTCCATCATCTCCAATGCAGTTATATCCTAAATCAAGTCCAATTACAAAAGTGTTGCTTCTTAATGTTTTATACAATATGGATGCATCCTGAACAAGAAAGAAAGAACATTATTATAAAATAAGCCATCATATCAATGACTGGCTTTTTGCTGAATTCACAGTATTAAAAAGCGGGGATTCCCCAATGAATTTTTAACTGGCAATCGCTTGGAAAGCCAAGCAGGCACTTCTGATGATAGGCACCAACAATCTTTAAATCCTTGAGCAGCCTCACTTGAAATTTCAGCCAACAGCTTAACTTTTTTCCACAATTTTGAGTATGACATGACTCTTGGGTATTGCAGCACACAGTTTTTGATAAACATAAACATGCAAACAGACATGTATGTTAAATTATGAACAGGGAGCAAGATTTTATTTCTAAAATGGTCAGAAGTTTTGAGAAAATAATAAGAAATTGATATTCAGCCAAAGCAAGGAGTGATAACAATATTCCAATAGTACCTCGTCAGTAAGTCGTCTTCTGTACATTTCATTGCACTCATTCCGTTTGTTACCATGTAGGAACAAGTCAAACTCAATGATGGGATCCCTGTTGTCAAAAAGCAAAACATATGGGAGAATTTATTATCAATTAAAAAAGGGAGACACACTTCTTGAATAAATAATTCAACTTGATAATGTTATAAGGACAATGCGATGTTGATTAGTTTGTTCTAAAAGTTGCTATTGAACAAAGACATGTTTTAAGTGCAAAAAGTAATTATTACTAAAAACTCAACTCACTCAAACCAGATCCAATTTCCCTTGGATTTGACCCCAGCTAACTCAAAGTCTGTTAACTCAAACTCATGTTAAATTAAATCAATATTACTTTCCCCTGCCTCACATTTACCCTAATAAATCAAACTTTAAATAAAAAACATCAGTTGATAAACATGTTCTCAAAGTGTGAGAACATAGCTGATTGACAAGTCTCAATCTTCAATTGCAAATGATACTGACAGGATAACATTCATGAAAAAAACCTAATACATTAGGCTAAACTTTCCTGCAGACTAAACTTTCTTGTTAAAAAAAGCTTTTGTAAAACAAAATAAAATTTGAAATTGACTATTGATCTTGTAAGAATGGTAGAACCACGATTCCTCATTAATTGTTATCAGGATAATTGAAATTCAGCACCAAGCACAAAAACTAAACCCTCACTAACTTGAATCTTTTTTTGTATTCCCCGGAGATTGAGTTATAGGGGTCCCATGTATTGTAAAAATACACAGTATGATTATTGTGTAAAGAAAATTGTTATATCAGAGTTCAGTGAGTGGGAGTTCAAGTTATTGAGGATGTTCTCCTGTAACATAAAATTAATAAATTACAGTTTTCTGTAACTTAGTCTATGAATAACTTACTGACAGCATTAAGTATTTCACACAAGTAAATAACTATCTCACTGTTTTAGGTTCTTTACCAGAGACAGAGAAGAAAGACTCTAAAATTATGAGAATAAAGTTTATCACTTTTTTTACACACTTCCACTTTTATTATCAAAAACTGACATTTTCAAATGAGCACTTCTGATTTAATTTCACAGCTTTCCTGTTGATGTCTTGAACAACATACAATAAATTAATTTAAAAATCTACTTTAACAAAACAAAGCAGGAATTAAATGTTTTCCATGTCTCATGAGAAATCCAAATCAAACCAAACCCGTGGGTTGCAAAAACATGTCTTTTAGCATTGTAATTAATGTTTTGGTTGCTTGGCAACCAAACAAACGGAGATTACATTCAGAAAGATGTTAACTGTGTGTTGGTTACTCCTGGTCCCTTGATTCTAACAAATTTATCAAGTTACCCGTGGAAACGTGTACTTTAAGGTCAATCCACAGCTTGATGCTAAGAAAGACTTAAACTTTTTACCTCATCAAGCGAACTGAAAGCTACAAATTTTCATTTCGTGTGCGTAGAGCAAGCTTTGCTCAATTTCTCATTCATAAGTTCCATAATCAATAGGACTTAATCCTATTATTTTGTTCCTGGAATAGGCTAAAATACAAGCAAGAACTTAAAACTCACAGAAAACTGTCATCTACTGCAGAATTCAAAACAGCTAAGATTCCCGTATCAGGCTCTTTCTCCAGTTCGGCACAGACTTTAAGGTAGTCTTCCTTCGTTGAAGCAGCGTCGCCCATTTTAAAAGTTTACAAAGGGATTATCTTTGCTCCTATTTCCAAGACTTAGTGATTTTTCTTCAAGCACCGCTAGACCTGTTCCCGCCGTCAGCGGCCATTTTGAACTTCGTTGCCTAGCAATGGTTGGGTCTGCATTCTTGTTGACTTTAGATATGAGATCTAATTTGATTGGCTAAAGTTATCGTCTCAAGTTTTTGACCAATCACAAGATAGTTTATTAAAACAGGGGTAAATATTTACTCGTTGCCAATGCGACACGTGCCTAATCTCCATGTCCCAGAAGAAATTGTCCTATTCAACAACAAGGCTTGAATAACACAAATTGAAGTTCTTGCGCTTCGAAACTAAAGACTTCGAGGTGATCTAGATCTACGATTTACGTAGATGTCTAGATAACCTAAACAAAGCATTTTGCTCAGGGAATATGACGATCCGTGCTGATCAAGGGGAAGAGGAAAGTAAACTTCACGTTGGAGCTCGACTGAACAACCTCAAGTTAGTACGCGAAGCGATAAGGGAAGAATTAGATCTGGACGCCCTGGGAAAAAATGGCTGGACTGCGTTGCATGAAGCCAGTTCCTGTGGCTATCTAGAGACAACAATCGCACTTCTTGAAGGTGGTGCCAACCCAAATATTCAGGATAGCCAAAGATGTACCCCTCTCCATCTCGCTGCAATAAATGGTCATTTAGAAGTTGTTCGCAGTTTGGTGCGCGCTGGCGCTCGGCTGGATTTAAGGAACGCTGAAGGGAAAAAACCCCAGAGTTGTGCTAGTGATGATTGCTTGGACTTTCTTGCGAGGCAACGTAAGTAAATTCTATTTGGTCATCGAGATTGCGAAACAATTAGAAAAATGATTCTAAGACGTTTTCATTTGTACTAGAAACAAATCACATACTCTCTAAAACAGGTGGACATGCGTCGAACCTTGTTGTGATGTCGACACTGTTACTGACAAAGCATCCATATGATGTTTTGTTTGCTTGCCAGTCAAGGAAAACGCAACAGCACATTTAGTACACCGTAAATTGACCTTGCTTTCATAAAAAGCTTGAATCGTAGCGGCAATCGCGTAGACGTATACAGGAATGATATCTTACTTCCTTACGAAGTTTCATCAACTATGAGTCAAACATTTTATAAGTTCAAATTTAAATACTCCCTAAAAAAAACATAAATTTGACATCGTCAGGAACACCTATGAATTCTTTACAAAGAATCGATCGAATTACAATTTTCTGTAATGTTTCACCAAATGAATTTTACTCAGCATTATTAGTATTACTTATTTTAAGTTTCCTTGTTTAAGGATAAACACGTACAAGAATCTTTTTATACACACCGAAAAGGATATATTCGGAGATACTTAATAGAGAATGCAGGGATATTGCACCTTAATGTGCAGTGAAAGCAATATTTCTTGTAGTCTTGCGTTGTTCGATCGACGGTCTTTCAATCGAAGAGTTAGCGCCCTTATTTTCGCTTACAATTGCGTTACTTCAGCTGCAACATTGTGTCCTAAGACATCTAAGGTTTCTGGTGTTGTTGCAATCTTCATGTACTGATTTTCTTCTCTACTTATTTCAACTCATGTCTAATTGTATTTAGCTTTCCTGCTCGAATCACTCAACCAATATACTTTTCAATCATTCTTTTCTAACCAGCTTAGCTAAATCTATTTTGGCATCATTTTCTTCATTCTAGGTGCTGAAGAAGTCATTAAAGTAAACCCTTCTCCAATCGAGGAAAACTCTGTGCGAAAGGTAAGTTTACACGCCAAAACATCTTCAGGTTAAGAAATAAACTGCTAATCTGACTTCAAACATCGCTCTAATATCACTTGAAGGTTATTTCAGCTAAAATCTCAAAATGTTGTAATAATTTTGCTGCTGCTGTTTACTCTAAACATTTTAGACATCAACTCTTTTCAGAGAACTAAGAAATGTTTTGAAAATTATAGTTTTTGCCAAAACTTAGCTCATTGAAAGAGTAATTTGATAGAGATTGGCAATATTCCAAGTACCAAACATTCCATTATTTTCTTGGCCTCCCTGTGGCAGATTTCAGGTGTCTTTTCTTACCATCTCATTTTGAAACAATAAAATTTTTTTGAATTTAAGTTATACGGTCCCAAAGCAAGTCAAAGCCCAGTTCTGAAGAAGAATAGACAGTCATCGCCGTGGTCAGACAGCTCTCAGAGCTCGCGCGAAAGCATGACGTCAAGTAGCTCAGGTAATAGGCTTGGAAGACTTTCATCGTGATGTTTAACACGTCTCTCAACAACTATTGGTCAATGACTACATGTATATCTGAAAAACATTTTTGTGAGTCATCAATATTTATCAGCATATAATTATACCTTTGTTTAGACTGCAATCAGGAAGTTTATATACTCGGCTGATTCATATGCAAATGCAAGGGTGGTTGACCTGACTTGAATAAATAAACTCACATAGACAAAACAATCTGTAATTGTTATTTTTAAATTTGGAGTGTTTTGTGTATTGTTATCAGTATTGAATCAAAAGTTGAAGTGATACTTATTGATTTTTTTGGGTTTGTGTTTCAGGTTCCAGTGACAGCTTTTGTGAATCATCCTATGCAGCATATTTACCAGGTAACTGTTCACATTTATACACAAAGAGAATTAATTAACCCTTTCACTGCCAGAGTGATTGAGTAGCACTTTCTTTTGCAACATAAGGAAATTGTACCGTAAGAAAGAGACAAAAATTAAGACACATGCCAAAATGAGACAAAAATGTATAACCTATTTATCATTTGTTATCATTTTTTTCATAGGGCCTGGAGAAATGAAAGTATCCTTAGATTTTAGCCCCAATAGACGCTTTCTTGATATTCATGTTGGAGAAATTAAAGATGTGAAACTTCCTGCAGGTAAAATATGCCTTTCTGTTTGCAATACCTTTTTATGATTGGTTGTTTGCAGTGAAGGGAAATGCAAATCTACATTAACATGGTTGATCCAACCATGGATTCTAATCATAGATAATGAGCAGACTCCTTCCTTTTTGGTGGGGCATCACTCAAATGAAAAAGAAAATGAAAAAAAAAGATTGATGTAAGCACTGCACAGAACTCTGGGAGTTGTTTAAAAAAAGCCTCAATTGCGTGTGGCGCTAGCAACAATTTATTTTTCACTCCAATTTTTCTGCAATGGACTTCTCAGGAAAGGAGGAGCTGCTTGTAGTTTAATTGTAGCAGGAAACCTCTAAATTGTCTTATTATTCAGGTATTAGAATTAAATTTCACCTGCAGAGCTTCTATGAATCATTGAAATACCATTTCAAATCTTTTTGTAGGTCACAACATGTCACACGTCTACGTTAAAGGATATCTTGTTCCCGACAAGTTGAAGGAAACAAAACGCAAAACGTGCTTACTCAAACTTGGAAGTCCAGTAGAAGGAAGAAAGTCAAGAGATAGTGTTACTTTATGGGATAGTGAAGAAGCTGAGAGTGAAAAAAGTCCTGGAAAAGGAATGGGACAAAGATTAGTCTCCTCACTTAGGAGGGGAAGTCGTTCATCCTTGCATAGAAAGAAGAGTCAAGAGCAAAGTAAGATTGTTGTTTTTGTTAGTCACTTTTTCCAGGGAAAATGGATGGGTGAACCAAAAAATTAAGATGTCAGTCTGTTTAATTGCCAAATGTTTTCTTTATGGATGCTCATGTTGTTCTTCATTCTCTCATCAAAAGGCAACTCAGCACCTGTTTATCGCATATCAACCACATTTGGAGAGACCTTTCATTACAATGCTGACGAACTGAGGAGGGTGAATGTGGAAACCTGCAATGTGTTGTTGACGATCTGCGGTCGCAATCGTGTAACAACTCAAGGACAGCCTGTCGCTTGTGTGACTCTACCACTAGCAGGTTACGCTAAAATGGTTAAACCTGAGTGGTATCCTTTGACGTACAAGATACTGTTACCCAGTGGATATGATGTGGCTGAAGAGCGAGAATCACTCAGAGGAAGCAGATCATGGGAACAAAAAGGTGCGTCTTTGCAGAGAAATCCTTCACTTTTTTCTTCTTCGACACAAAGCCAATGCTTATAACCGCTGATCAAAATAGCTTATCCTTATGTAAATGAAGAAAGGTCAATCTGTCAGAGTACGGAAGATTGTTAACAGGAAAATCAAATTTATTTTGCACAGATAACATCTTATTTACGTATAGAGCGCTTCTCGAAGTATGGAAAATACCCTTGGGGATAAATGACAACACAATGAAAACTGCCCCACAAGTGCGGTGGGCCGCGATTGAACTAGTAGTGATTGGTATTCGTTTTGCATCTGCTTGTTTTAGAAAGTGCCGCGAGTTTCCTGGAACAATCACAAAGCTAATGAAAGCCAGGCACAACACAATTTGTTTTGATTTGTTTTTACCTGCGGCTGGATTCTTTTAAATAGGGCATTAGTCCATTCGTTGAGCTCAAAACAGAACATGAATTATCGTAAAGGTTTGAAATACAGAGAACTTCTTTGACCCTTTTTTGTTTTTTTCTTCCGCAGGAGGTAAGTTCACTGGTCGAAGCCTGGCTTGGAATGGAGGAGCAAAAGCAATGTCTATGCCCAATATAGACATTTCTACTTTAAATATGGCATCACAAATAGCGGATGGAAATTTTATCCAGACAGGAGAGGGCGGATTCCCACCAAGTGGTTCCACAAAGCTCAGGAAACACAGCGGGCCTGGGAAGCTTCTGAAAAAGGAGTTTAAAATCTTGAAAGGCAAAGGAAACCACAGATACAGGAATAGTCCTTCATCTCAGGAACTGGCCAAAGAAGAGAGAGCCGAAGGTAGCTTCAAGGTTAACATTGCAGAACGTAGTTCGACTATTCCGGGAGCGAATCGTGGGGGCATCGACTTGAGTAACACGCTCTCCGGGAGTAGAAGGCGAAGTACGGCGAGTAATATCGGGTTACATGAATATTCAGTCTCCCGTGATCAGCCAAATGATGATACAGAAATAATTTCGCTGGACGAAGACGAGGAACGCACTTCAAAACCAGAACTTGAGCATAGATCGTCATTTGCTCGATCGCTGAAATACAGTCGAGCGTTTCAACAGCAAGCGTCCGCAGCGAGGAGACGAGATGCTGCCGGAAATGACATGGATGTGGAAGACTTTGAAGAAACTTCGGATACGCCTTTTGCAGTCAGTAACTTTCACCGACAGAAAAGTGGAATCGCGTGTAATTGAAGCGTTAGTTATTAGTCATTTTTTTCCAGTAATGAATTAAATTTATTACATTCGTGGTACGAAAGAATTTGTTAAAGACAGTGGGATCGAAACAAAATTTTGTTTAATATTCTCACCAGTTAGTATTTCGGACAATTATTTTTTATTAAACTTACTTTCAAGCGTTGCGCGAGTTTCGTGTAGTGTAGAAAATTGACAGATACAATGTTTAAATAAGAGTTTATTTTATATTATTTCGTTAAAGTAAAGAGAAACACAGTGGACATTTTGTAACATAGAGTAATAAAATTTTTTGAACAAATATTGTAAATTGAGGGATTTTCGTTCGTTTTTTTTTAATAAAGATTATTTGATGACCATGTTGTTGTTCTAGACCTAAAATCTGATAAAGAGTAGTAGGAACAAATGTCCCCAAAATATCGGAAACACGGCAACTAATGATTGGGCAAAGAATCGAGGGATGATTCGGTGGCGGTACGGAAAAAGTGACTGGAGAGGAAAATGACATTTTTTACTCTTCAATGTAGTATTAAAACCCTTACCAACTCTTAAGATCCCGAAGACTAACCTCACTGTAAAATGGTCGTCTTTTTAAATGCACTCAATATTTAACTAAGGACTCCGTTGTCTGTTCTAAGCTAGTTTGTAAACGGGGCGATTTAGCAAACGGCGCGATTGTAACGGCGGGCTGAAAATGCGAGGGAGGCTTGGGTCGAGTTTGGAGGACGCCGCCATTTTGAGAACAAATCCGTAACCTCATCCGCACCAAAAAACACAAAACGCATTAAAAAAAAAACAAAAAAACAATTGTCACTCTTGTCATGGGAAAAAATATCATTACAAATTTGACTCTTTTAATTGCTGAGAGAAGATAGGAGGAGCTAACATCATGAAGCCTCAGGTAAGTGGGCAGGTTGCTAAGCAAGTTCAAAATGGCGGTATAAGAACGAAAGAGGAGCGAGACATCGTTACGCTGTAAATAAATGGCCAGGTTTCTCAGCAAGACTCAAAGTTGCGGCGTCCGTAGTCGTTAACGAGATACGAAGACACATGTTCTCTTTTGATTAACTGTTACGTCAGTATCTCGCGCTCTGTTAATAATAATGGTAATAGGAGCGTGTGGAGTCCAATTCGGTCTGTAATCGTAGGAGTGATTTGTTAATTACGAGTATGATTACAGACAGAGTTGGACGACATGAAGTTCTGTTACCAGTAAAACTATGATAAAATTTGAGTACGAAACTGTACATCGGTTATACGTTTCATAAAAAAAAGAGTTGATTAGGCGAAGTGCGAGACAACAGCGCACGCCCATGACGCGTTCTGTCCAATTAAACAGGCATGACGTGTTAACTGTCCTACTACACTGTCCAATTAGAAGCATGACGCATAGACTATCTTATTCGCGCTCAAATCGGGCTTGTTATAACCAATCACGTTCGAGAATTTTGATGCAGTTTTGATTAAGATTCTAATTCTCCTTTGATGGATTGTTACTTAAATATCTCGCGCAAGTTAAGATTCTCTTTTGATAGATTGTTATGCTAGTATCTCGCTCACTGCTAAGTTTCTCTTTTGGTGGATTGTTACGTTGGCATCTCGCGCACTGCTTGGATCTCTTGATGGATTGTTATGTTAGTATCTCGCGCAAGTTAAGATTCGCTTTTGATGGATTGCATGTTATGTTAGTATCTCGAGCAAGTTAAGATTCTCTTTTGATGGATTGTTATATTAGTATCCCGCGCAAGTTAAGATTATCTTTTGATGGATTGTTACGTTAGTATCTCGCTCACTGCTAAGATCTTCTTTTGATCGATTGTTACGTTAGCATCTCGCGCATTGTTAGAGTTTCTTTTGATTGATTGTTACGTTGGCATCTCGAGCACTGTTGGATTCTCTTTAGATGTTTGTTACGTTGGTATCTCGCGCACACCTAAGATTCTCTTTTGACTGATTATTACGTTGGCATCTTGCGTTCTGTTAAGATTCTCTTTAGATGGATCGTTATGTTAGTATCCCGCGCAAGTTAAGGTTCTCTTTTGATTGATTGTTATGTTAGTATCTCGCTCACTTCTGAGATCCTCTTTTGATGGATTGTTACGTTAGTATCCCGCGCACTGTTGGATTCTCTTTTGATGTATTGTTACGTTAGTATCTCGCGCACACCTAAGATTCTCTTTCGATTGATTATTACGTTGGCATCTTGCGCACTGTTAAGATTCTCTTTAGATGGATCGTTGTTTAGGTATCTAGTACACTTTTAAGAGTTGTTCTTGGTTGATTGTTACTTTAGTATCATATGCACGACTAGGATTCTCTCAAGGTGGATTGTTGCGTTAGTATCTCACGCACTGTTAAGGTTTGCTTTTGACGGTTGAATAACATTTTCAGGAGTAATTGTTACGTCTGCTCTCCGGATTGTTATAACTTAAACTATAAAGACATTATTAAAGGCCTCTTTGAAAGGTAAAGTGATACTAACTAAGGCAGTTATCAATTAGTAAATGTGTATCTGGAAAAGATTCTACACTTTTTGCGACGTTTTTGTGACTTCTTGAAAATTCCGCTTCGATTCTTTTTGAAGCTCGTCACTTGCCGATATACGTGTTCATCTTCCCTGGTTCAGGATAACTTTTCTCTTAGCTCTCTGGCTTCTCTTTACTTATGGGGTATTTTTCCGATGAAGCCCTAAAAAACTGTTAGAGGAGCTGGGCCTAACGAATGCGGCAGACGGCTAACGGGCCATATTCAACTTCTTGACGACAGATATCAGCCATTTGTACGTTAAAACGAAAACATTTGCATTAGTCGTGCAAAGAGAGTTTTTATTATTTTTCTATCTGATGTGTTGACTCAAGGCTAGAGATAATAAGTCGTCAGACTGAGACTACTGCTGGAAAAAAATTATATCTGTAGTTAACCGTCGCTGTAAACGCTTTCCTTTAACCCTCCACACTCTAACATCAGTATGTATTTTCTCAATTCTGTTATTAATACATTTCCTAAGGTGCTGATAAGGAGAATCTGTTTAACAATCAAGAGCTTTTTTAGTCCGTGATTATTTCCTTTGTCCTTGTGAACTTAATTAATGTGTGACCCAGGGGTGATACTGTAGAGAGGAGTTAGATATAGGTCACCCTTAGAAGTCAAATGATTTACTCCCTATTTTCTCACGGTTTAAGCTCTTTTAAAGCAGTTTTCCACATTACCGAAATGTTTTTCAGTACGCCGCTAATATTGGACCTTACACAGAAGAACATTAATGATGGACGTCTGAGTGCTGCTGCACTCACAACGAGATGAGCGGCAAACCCAGATGTTCAGGGCTGTTAAATGGCGCGTCTTCATTAGCAGCACATCCTTCAAACGGTTGATGACAATAATGCTAAACATTTGTTACAAATGAAGAACAAAGAAAATTGTCTGAGTCAGATTTCAAGAGTCAAATGCTCTATCAACTGAATACAGTAATCTTGGTTACAAGCAAAGCCCAAAACAGATTAAAAAGCGACAAGCTTCCTGCTAGTATTAACATTCTCAAAAGCGTTTGTACAGAGATTTGGGTTGCAAAAGATTAATACTAGCCCAGAAAACACTTGCCACGCGCATGGAACAAAGAGAAAAACGATGCTGTAAAAGCGCAGCTCTGCAGGTGTGACGAACCTCTTTATACCACGACAAACAAGTTTATTAGGGCTGAAAAAGATCGATGGGACCGTGGGAAACGATCATGATTTCGCCATACACCTGTTTCTTCGGCATCGTGTCAAACAAAAGACTTCATAGCGAACGAAAAGTGACACGTGTCACGGCAACACCCACACGTGTGCGATGAAATGATCAAACGTTCGAGAGTACGATCACGTACGCGTGAACAATGGTCGCGTGCTCGATCATTTGTTCGAAGCATAAACAACCCGTGGGAAAGACGGGATTTGGGTCGAAATCTCAGCTTGGATTCTAACTCAAACAAATAAACAAAAAAAAACTGGTGTTGTACACTTCGTACATGAACGCTTTCAAAGACCTGCTGAACTGCGGGTCATCTATGAACGTTGAAATTAAAAGTTTCATACTATTGTAGCTCCAGATTGTCATAACATCAATTTTTTGAAAAAGTGATTTTTCATGAAAACCATCACCCGAAAGTGAAAAATTATAAACGCCGATTTCACGAAATATTAGATTGAACGCTTGGCTTACTTGCAACCTATTCAACTGAGAGGGTGACCTCGTTTTCTCAAGAAATGTAAGCCACGCTTCACTCATTTCTCTTCCGAGTTGATGTGTAAGAGTAAGAGATTTAATATCAATCAAGTTATTGTGATTTCTCTAATTTTGAAGTTAAAAATTATTATAATCGCATCGATTTTTTTCCCTTGACTTTTAACGGACAAGGAACGTAAGGGAAGTCTGAAAATTCCCACGGTTGATGACGGTTAGAATTCGATGACACCTCGTTATATCTTTTACTTTTAGATGCGCACGTGGTGGTTTAATTGATTCCTTTATCCAGCGACGCGAATGAAAGACAACACCACCTGAAAATTATATCGCTAAAGACGCGGCGGCAAAAAAGCCAAATGCTAGCAGGCTTTTGCGAGTAAATCAATTCGTGAGGGCGCGAAAACGAGATTGGCCAAGGTAAATGAGAACAATAACACACCTGCCACGCGTATACTGAGTAAACAATTGCACACGTGGCGTTAATTGCAATTGAGGGACATAATTAACATGCTCGAGTACAGATCAAACATTCGCGAGGTTCATTACCGTTCATTTAATTACGCTTCAGCTGCGAGTCGAAGGATAACAAGAAGCTGTAAAAAAATTGAATTTGCTTCAAATGGGCAGTTGAATGTTTAAAAACCAAAAAAAAATTTTTTTTTTAATTTTTTTCAGACTATGCTTTTGATGAATGTCAAGTTTAGATACGTCTTTTTATTTTGATTGGTTGAGCTTTGAACAGGGTTTGTTTATTGAAACTAAGAGAATACGATCGCTTGATTGAAACAAAGTAAAATTATTCTTTTGTGCCAAATGTTAGACCCATATTTGTGCTCGGAGCGCAGAGGTGTAACCGCCTGCGATGGTTTCTTGTGTGTTACTGGTGGCTTCGTTACCCTTTTCGTAAAAAATTGTTGAACTTACAGCAGAAATTCAAAGACAGGAATATAAGGTGAGATTTAATGTACTTAAAGAACAAAAACAAAACAAATCTTATTTCTCAAGAGGCTGGCTGTCCTTGAGTTTTAAACCCACGCGCTGCTAACAAGCGCATGCCGGTGACCATTCTGGCGAGTTCCAATCAAGCAAATCGAGTCAAAGAGATCTCATGTACTGTTTACTACATTCGTTTTCAAGTATCAGAGATGCAAAGACTAGTGGTCTTTGCTTAACCCCTTCTTTTAAGTCATCTAATATGCGACCAGCTTGCTATATTGGCTTTGCAGTACCCAGTCATTCAAAAGTGTGAAGTCTGTTTTGTATAGGTGTTATGAATATCTCTGAGTTGGCTCATTCATGGCTGTGGAAATTTTCGCTAAAAGATTTGTGTTGAAAATTTAGAGAGGATAGAAAAGTTTTCAAGTTTTGTTTAAAAGTTTGAAATGAAAAAGCCTACGCTGTCTTCAGGCAAGCGAAATTTATGCAGCATTTGGTAGCATATCACTTTAACGACCTCAAAGTTTAGAAGCGCTGCTGGAAACGAACATACAGCTATCTGTCAAGTGCTAAGACATATCAGAACTTTGCAAACTGTCTCGTTGCCGGCAAACTGATTTTGAGAAAACCTAAGCTCGTCAGCTGGAAAATGTATCATCTATGAAATGTCAAATATCTGAGCTAAACTGACATTTTAAGGAATCTAAGTAATTGCAACTCATTCAACTGAGTTTATTTCGGAGTCCAAAAAGAAGTGATTGTTTTCCATCTAGCTGAAAAAGATCCCTCAAAACGACCAAATAAATTTAGTTTCCACGTCCATTCGGTTGACCATAGTTAAGTTATTTAGTACTGACAACCCAAATGATAACATATCTTTGTGTTACATTTTATCATTGTTGACTGTAGAAGCTGTTTTCAAAGTTTTACACGCGTTTTTACTCACTCACCGGAAAGTCTTTAATGAGCATTAACACCTTTGAATGGGCAGGTCACGCTCATCATAGCTGAAAGGACTTGAATAGAATTTCCGGAAATAGCTTCTCGTAGTGCCGATGGCTTCAGGCTACATTCTGTTTATTTAACATCACAATACTTTGCACTCATGTTTGAAATCTGTAATTGGCGTAAATACACAGCAAAATCAAAAACACACTTCAAGCTATTTACGCCTTCTCACGCCATCGATGGTTTGCAATTCACTTTTACGTTAATCTTGTTAAACTAACCAAGCAGGTTTCAAGAGCTCAGATCGTTGGGTGTTAGTTCAAGGTTTTGTCGGCCGCAAAAACATTGCTCTTACTTTTTTCAATTGTAACACAAAAAGGCAAGTGTTTGGCCATTGAACTGACCGGTGCATTTGTCTCACATGAGGCACTCTTAAAATTATGCTTCACACGGCAAACTAGACAGCGTTGTCTTCAGAGGCCTAAGGGCTAATTCTCAGCTGCAATGCATGAACCAGCTGCAGTTTTAGGAAGGAACGCATCCTTCAAATCCAAGTAGAAATGTTGTCATTTCAGATTGGGCCAATCTGGTTGGAAAATATTGTAAAGAGGCGGAGAAATTTAAGTATCCACTTAGAGTTGGCGACGAGAAGGTTAAGGAGTTTTTCAGAATAACCGAAGTTAATTTAGAAATCCGGAAAACAATTTCAAACACTTGATTAGCACGATGTAGAAGGCGTATCACGTACGAATTAAGTCACCAACGAGGTTCTTTTAACCTCTGTGAGCGGAACATCGCAAAATCGCCACTTTCGACATGGGCTACAACAAAGACAACATAGAGAAGGTTTCTCATTCGCCTTTTTAATACAAAAAAGAAAAACTATTTGCAAAATTGGTGCTTCAAAATACTTTGAAACGGCCAATTACAAAAAAATTCGGAATGTAACAGACTTGCATTTCATAATATTGTTATTGTAAAACAGTGAAACAACTATGCACAGAGGTCTCGCTAGCCAGTAGCTAAATTTTATCTCAAATTTTCTCCATCTTCGAAGGAAAACATTAGATTGAAACTTTTTCTTTTTAAAAAAAGAATTTGGTGGATCGTTTTGTTTCGATTTGTTTTAGGATAATGCCTTTAATTGCTGGAAAATAGAATAAAGAGTTTTCTGGATCATGTTCTTTGTTCTGAATAAAAGCTTACAAAAATACACTGAACTGAGCAGCAGGTGAATAGAACAGCTCTCCCCTGTTGTGAAAAAGTTCTCACAAATTTTCCGCTGAGCATGACGAACATAGAAGAAGTAAATTAAGACTCTGACGGCTGATATTGCAACAAAGGTCGTTAATACGGCGCACGCGAGAAAACTTGTATTGCTAAATACTTTCAAAATTCTACCAACATGGCACATTTCAAGTAATTTTCTATTTTAGCGACAAGTGTATATTTCAGTATTTGAACAAAATAACGTCAGAAGGATACCGGCAAAAATAACATGTGTAAAACTAACTGGCTTTTGTAATTTTTTTTTCTGGTTTTATGAAAAGTCAAACATGATCTATTTGCTTTCAAACACTACTAAACCGCAAAAACCCATCAAAGACGTTAATTTCGCGAGTGAACTGAGGCGTTACAAAACACATTTACAGTATTGTAAATGGCTTTTTAGGTCCATTGTCAAAGCACGTTTTAAAAACACTGCATTTAAATGAGAAAAGTGCCTTAAACTTTCTTTCGACTACAGCGCAAGTGCAAAGACCCTTGAGCGACTAAGATAAAGTCTTTGTTCTGTGACATTTTGAGAAAAGTCGCCGCCTGATCGCCTGGAGCAACGTTTGCATATCGTTAAGCTACGCGCTCTTTGTCTGACGGTGGCAACGAAGTCAAACCAGTGGCTGAAATTTTTATCTCGCTGTTCGAGCAAGAACTGTTTGGGAGTTGAAGATTTCTATTGGAGGGCTTTGCGAGGAAACAACATAAGAAAGTTTACAGCTCAGGAAGGATAATTTTTCTCTTGAATACAAGAGATCTCTAAAGACAACCCTGATCTATATTGACCGCTCGTGGCAGCTTAAAAGGTATGGTACAATTTTTCTTGTTCAGATCTTTCGACACATTTTTGGCATAGATGTCTTGTTTACTCTGCGAATTTGCAGCAAAGTTCGAACTGTAATTCCTGGAGTTTTGCGACAGCGAAATTTATCTAGCTGTGTAAATGACTTGTAACGCTCTTTTCGTCTTTGAATAGTGTTTTTAAACTCACGCTGACTTACATAAATCGAACGGAAAATTAGCGACATTCAATTACAATTTTAAGTCAAGTAAGTTTGGCACAATTTTCGAAGCCAAAAAAAGACGGGATCAGAAATTCTATGATGTATAGAGTGAAAAGCTTTTCGTGGGGGTAAAGAACCTACGTTTTTCAAAGACCTTCCGTGTATTTTAATGATTGAGCTCTATAGTGAGACATTCGCTCCGATCTTTTTTTACATTTGGATACGAAATCGTTATTGTTGTTTTACCAACTTCCCCTCGATGAAGCTAATATCGTAATAAAGTCAGGTTTTACGGGGTTCTGTGGAAATACTGAAGACACTTTAACGTTCAAAAATTGTTGTTCTCCATTTTCCCACACTGACAGACCAATATTTGCAACTGAAATCATAAATATTCCAAGGTTCACTGACTTTTCGCAAGCACCCAGGCATGAACTTCAAAGAACACAATAGAATCTTTTATAAAAATTTACAATGTCGGCCAAATGGTTTCGACATGCAGACAGTTTGACCCATTCAACGCCACTTCGAACGCGTTTCGGCTCCAGAGTTCAACATTTTATGTAGAATCAAGGGCTTGACATGATCACAACAGATCGAGTGCAAAAGAAACAAATCTCAAAGCCATATTTGTCAGTTTTAATTGGCAAGGTGTTAAACAAGTCTTTTGCTGTGTGTTTGATGCTCAAAACCTTTTGGACTGTCGGTTTAATCGAAATACCATAATACCTGCACAATTTGTGATTTCTGAGAAGGAAAACTTTTATAACCTTTCATTTAGATAAGGGTTAAACAGTTTGGGAAAGAAATGAAAGGAAAAAATTCTAAACATGAATGCAGATTAGAAAAAGAATCATTAACAGCATCAATGATCTTTTAAGTTTAAGACAAGAGTGAAATTTCCCCCAAATAACCAAGAACTTTAAGTGGAAAAAAGAAATACACCTCAAATTTTGACATTTGAAATATTGCTTTTTAACTTAAGAGCGAAGTATTGTCTCACTTTTTCTCAGTCATAATTCAAGCTGAAAGCTTCCCTGAGATAAAACATTAACAAGAACATATCATGCTAGGTGCTTGAATTGTCCATGCTGGGAAACGTTTGATAAGTCAACGTGAGCGTATGGCTTCTCTCAGTGAGTCAGTTACAGCGGAGTGAAGCTAATTCTTAATAATCCTCCGCCGAAAAATATATTGAAATTCTTAGCCCAAGAGATTAACATCATGTCTCTTATCGAGTTGCGTAATTTGCATAGGTTGTTGATTCTGTTCTTATTTCCCATCCCTCTATGCTTTTACGCCCCATATTTCCTGTTCCTGAGAGGTAAAAGGAAAAAAAAGGGCTTTAGGCGCCGGAAACCAGTTTGTACGTCCTGACGCCTAGACTTCGCGGCTGAGTATTGTCCATTTTTGGCGTGGATGAAAAAAATCACTCAATCTCCATTGCTCACTTATATAGTGATAGCTTTCAGCTGCTTTCAGTAACATTGGGTTATCATGAATAGGCACTTGTCGACGGTAAACCTTTGAAGTGAACTACATTTGGTTACTGGTGATTGAAAACTCCCTTTTTCAAGCAGGTACAGATTGTATTTAGAGTTTTCCGGTTATTTCTTGCTGGGGAGTTTAAACAGAGGCTTGATTGAGATCACAGCCTACTGCTGCGGTCAACTGTTTCACATCCAAGGGTTTTACAAAGGCACAAAGAAGTTTACAGCTGTGAATATTCGTGGGCGAATATTCATAATCACGCAACTATGAGGTTGAGCTAATATGATGGCGTTTTATCAAACATCTAATAACTGTACCACAACTGTCATGGCATAAATCGCTGAGTTAGATTTCTTCAGCTGTGTTGAAGTTTGCACTGAATGCGCAGAAATAAATCGAGATCACGACAAGCTATCGTACCAAAGTAAAAGATACTTAGGAGTTCAGTGGCTTCAGCGCAAACATAAGCACTATCATACGCTTTATATTGTGTTTATATCGCTGTAATTCACGAAATGTTTCTTTTAAGAAATTGATACATCCTTTGGCGGCATTTTCTGCCTTTTGTGGTTGATCAATACCAGAAAATTTTTATTTTTAGTAGCAACTGACACCGTTTTAAATAAATTTTGTTCATTAATTCATACCCCCCTGAACCAAGACACACTCTCACGCGAAAGTACTTTATAATATTGGTGTGAAAAACGCGCCATATTGGATCCGTCGGTGTAAACTTCAGCGTGCTGTAGCATTAAGGAAATTGTCGTCTTTCAGGTGACAAGGATCTTCATGAGAAAGGCAAGTTGATAGTTTGATTTTTTCAAAATGATCGTACAGAATTTGAAGGGAAAATGTTTCAGCTGAGTGTGGAAATAAATCTGGGTTGACTGATTTCGCTTAGGTTCGCTTCGTAGTTGGTTTAGGAAACTCGTTCCTTCTTCTCAACCAATCAGATGAAAAGTAAATAACTTCAGCTCGCGTTTCCCGCGCTTAATGCCGATTACATGAGAGTACTGGTTTTTCAATGGCTTCCTATTTTTGTTTTGTTCTGATTGGTCATTGATAACTTTGCATCCATCGAGTTTGGTTTCTGGATATTTAATCGAAAAGCGCTCAAAACATTGATTTTCTCAAGCAAATGACGATAGGAAGTGCGAAAGATTTATTTGACCATGCACTGAAAAATTCAAATCCAAGTGTGGTGATTGTTAGTAAATCTGATACTTACTTAAATAGATCGCATAAATAAGAGAGAAGATAAGCCGCTGTTCATCACGTTCAGTAGCAATATAGAGATTCCCAAGATTACAACTTAAAAGAAATCAGGTTGAAGAAAAAAGGTTTAAAACACACGTCGACTGTTTTGGAGAGCGTGAAAATTGACAATCGAATGGTCTAATAAAACAGATTGTTTACCGAGTAACTTCTTGAAGTTGCCCTATTTAAGTAAAAAACTTTCAAATTTTAGACCGGTTTACCTTAATAAAGCTTGAAGGCAGTTTAGTTCACGAGTTAAAAATATTTTAACTTAAAGTGTATATTTTTCAGTGGCCTCTGAATTCCAGTCTTGACTGAGCTATTAAATCAATAATTTAATTTCATATAACCTTGTTCCTAGCTAAGAGTTCATTGCGTTTTTAGTTCCGGTACTGACGTTTCCTCAAGTCATTCTCAAGGCCACTTCTTGTTTTGACTTTAAAAATTCTATTCTCGGACAACTATTTCAGTTGATCTTCCTAACCCTGTTCCTTCCCATGAGCCACTGGCGACTCTATCTACATCTCCTCAAAGAGACCAAAGAGTATTCTATTCTCTGTCCAACTGTTGTTTTTAATCCATCTCCTGTCATTCTCAGTCAGGTTGAACTTCAACAATTTTTCTAATGCGGTTTCACTGATGCGTTAATTGTTTTGAATGTTTCCTTTATATCTGACAATTTTGCTTGAATTCATAGTCTCCCAGGTCGTAACACCCTTTTCCTGTTTTCCTGTTTTCACAAAACTATGTTTGTCTTCACCATCCATGTCATGTTTTTTTAATCAGTTTTGTTACACATTCGATTCAATCACCAAAAACAAAAGTCACATTTTTTTTTATCTCGGTAAGATCAAACAAATAAGTCATTCAAAGTTTAGCGTTTATTTAGTTTTGAGAAAGCTTGTCTCTTTTGATATAGAATCTAGAATTTAGCCAACCGGGTGCCAAAGAACCTTTAGAGTTATCCGTATCTAAACTAATCGGAGCCGCACCCTGAAATTGGGCTAAATTTTAAATTGTGAAGTGTCTCGGTTTTTTCTTTTTACAATCAAGATAACGTACTGTGAACTTGGACAGAGTGCTCTCTATTTTCCTAACAGAAGGTTTTCCACAACGAGCAACAACTACGAGAAATGAATCGAGCTTAATTGGCCAACTAGTAGTTTCCTCGTTAAATTTGTGTGATAGAAACTGGTCAAATTTATTTCTAAAGAATGATTACGATCGTAAGTTGATTCTTCTTAATAATAAAATCCAATCGGCCTTTTTTAGGCTCTTGTGGCGCCTCAGGGCTGATTTATCAACGCGCTAAATTTAACAGATCGACTAGCTCCTAAAACCGCAAAGATCGCCCAGGATGTAGGATTCACTGCCTTCTTTGACTTCTTTCCCACACTTGATTATTTTGTTTCCGGGCGAGGCGAAACCACGGCGCTGCCTGCTTCTGAAATAACAAGTCAAAACAACGGTGCCTATCACCTCTCGCTGTGAATATTGATGTGGTTTTCAAGTCGGTCGCGTGTGTGTTAGCAAGGTTTGCAAGATTTTATCTCTTTGACCTACACGCGGTAAGTGTCTGGTAAGTTGCGCAAAGAAAGCTTTTGAAGTAAAGATTTCTTCGACAGTTTGCAAACCACAGAATAGTAATTAACCACTATGTTAGAACAATATTACAAGGAACAGCTGTAAAATGAGAAAAATGTTGTAACGAAGTTACAGTTAGTTTTTTTTCCATTAACCCGCACACCACTTCTGAGAAAAAATTTTATTTTGGAAATCCAAATGATTTTAGTTTTGGTCAGCTTTTGTTTGCCAGCTTTGATTGTTTTTAACGTCTGATGATGAAGTGCTGCACAAATTCCCCTGTGTTTGGACACACCTATGTTTTCTTTGCTTACAAAAATACTGTAAACCTAAAAATCGGATATGGGAAAGCGGCAGCAAAGACCTCATTGCAACTTAAATCGACTTTAAAAATCTCGAGCCAACTTTGATTAACTTCGTCAATTTACCTGCTGGTGTATTTATACTTTCATGAAGTGCTGTAAATAGAAACTTCCCTCGAAGTAATTTTAACCAAATTTAGTTCAAGGTCCTGCGCAAGCAAAATGGTGGTTTATTAAGTAGAATATCTTTCCAGATGTGAGCTTGTAAACTATTAAGCGAGATAAAGTCGCTCAATGAATACATCTTCTCAAAAGTCAATTCGCTGGTGCAAGTACATGTCTGAACAACTCAAACAAAGCACCGGAAATAGCTTTGAAGCAACAGTTTCAAGAGCTATTAGCACACGTGCGCAGCGAACTTAGACAGTCGTTCGCGTTTACTTTAGGTTACAATGACTTTTCCGGTAGAGTAAAATAGTTTCGGTGTCGAGGTAACCTAGAAAATAACTGGATCAAATGGAAGACACAAACGATGACAAATAGGAGGGATGGAGAGGAATAAGATTCGCATCATCTTCAGGGAGACGCGCGCAAACAAATTTCTGAAAGTTTCATATGGTTGATTAAAAAAATCAATATGGGTTCCAAAAAAGTTTGCATATGTTTGCTACAGCTTAAAGTTGTACATTGATCTTGTAGATTACCGGGAGGAATTTAATTTTTTGCCTTACGGTCGATGGTTTTATCGAGGTCGTCCTATCAGAGTAAAAAAATAATAAACCTAGAGTACTATGCAATGTACAGATAAAGAATAACTAATGAAAACTTTTGAAACAAAACTCCTTTTTTAGTTGGTGTCTCTCTTGTATGCAAATTATAGCGTTTTCTGATTCAGCAAACTTCGGAAGGCAACACAAGCCAGCTTAATTTGCAAAATTTGTGTATCAAATTTTGTTCGTTTATTGTTAGTTGGTTACAAGTTGTGCTCTTAATCTGAGCCCCCAGAGTTTGTTTATGGAAATTGCTTCGGGAGATAATTAAATCGCCGTGCAAGTAAATTGAGACGACACAAGACAATTCGATTTACCCAAGAGAGTTGAGCCACGATTGCAGCCGATCCAGTTGAAAATTGCTAAATACGATTTCTTTCCGTGTACAATTAAAACTGCTGAGCGTAATTAATTTTGCACTTTCAAATGTAAACTTTGCCCGACCTCTCGGCCATCTTCTGCTACCATGTTTGCTTTTTCCCGCGGTATACAATGGAGCTCTCGCACATCAACAACAATGTATTGTTGACGATCTACAAACATTCGCAACCTGTAAAGTGGTACCAAAGCCCCTTTCAATCAAATCCAAGCTGTTTTTGCATAGCTAATGTGACGCGTTTATTAAGTGACACAGACGCGACGAAATCTCGAGCGAAAGGGTTTTTGGTCGATCACCGGAAGAAACGCGAATGTGAAATCAACAAAAAAAGGTATTGCGCGTAGCAACGTATGAATTAGATTTTAGATTACCTAAATAGTCAGGCTTGTTTCCGTTGTTGTAGATTATTAAATTCCTTGCGAAGATGTAATGCAGCTAAGGAAACAAGCCTTGTAATCGGTTCATTTGACCCGCGTGTGCATCAAGGGCAAAACCTACTGAACATCTGCCAGTGACCAAGAGTCAAGTTTCATGAGTTTTGATTACATTGCGGTCAGACGTAGGAACTTTTTATCAGCTTCAAAACACGTATTCCATGGTAGTTTCTTTTTTCGTTCCTCTGACAGGAAACCTTGAATGAATTTGATAGTGAACCATATCGTGCAGGGCCTGTTGTTACAGGAAGACAAGACACGGACGCTTGGATTGTGACTCAAGTCAAGAGCTGTCATTTGGGAGATCGGTAAGTGCCGTGCGCTTTGACAAGAGGCAAAAACTAAACCTTTATTGCGTTTTTCACTAAACAATATTAAAAACAAAAAGTATAACATTCTTGCGGTCGCAGACTTCAAAACAATTCATTCCTCTTGCAGCTTTTTTTATTCCAAGCACAGCGAGTTTAACTTAGATAAATGATTACGCTGTGCATCAAAGTCAAACTATATTCACAAAAATAAATTATTTCAACCTTGAAGCTTATTCCAAGCATGGATAATTTCTCGGAATCAGACATGCCCGGTTTGAGGGAATATCTTTTGAGTTATAATTACCTTTTTTCCATTACTGTTATCGAGAATATTTGGTAAACTTTACACTAAAAAATACTTATCTGTATGGCTAATTCTTAGAATTAATTATGAGCAAAGTCGAAGTGGAGTATAGTGGGAAACGAGGAGTGAAAAAAATTATGTCATCTTGGAATTTTGGCAAAATTTAATGTTCTCTTCAATGTAACGAAAAAGTCATTTATTTGGCTTTCGAATATCTTAAAAGGGAAAAAGATTTTAAGCTTTCTAGATTATTCTGTGTTACAGGAAACTAAATTTTTATCGTAATGTAGAAAACAGATGACAGCCACTGTGAACCAAAAGCGTACAGCTTTCACAAAGTATCCGACTATCCAGAAACTTTATTTTATCAGCAGGAGAAATTTGTGAGCTGTTTAAGTACAAATCATTATGCGGACTGAATATTGCTTTTTAAACGAGCAAAATTTGCTTCGTTAAATGTCCAGCGACAAGGCTACTTAGAGAAATGTGTTGAAAGCTTCGCTACACTTAGCTATTCAATCATTTCAGATTTTCAAAAACAGCTATTCATCTCAACGGCGCGTGGAAAAATAAAGATAATGTATTTAGGTCAACATTCATTGCAAGAATCACACTCACATAGAGTAACGGCTCATTTTTCTCGTATTTTTCTTCAGTTCACAGACTATTTGAATTGTAATCACATACTTGTATCCGCTGCAAATGCCAGCTCAATTTCTAGAATATTTGTTTTTTCAAAGTTGGGAGTCCAGAGAAACCTAAAACTTGGGGTCAAACACAGGAAATCGAATCAAGGATAGAGAAAGCTGGCAGGCTTTAAACCTGTCATCAGTGAATACTGATTACGTTGAGTTACAACTGTTGCATAGGGGCAAAATGTTTATTTTGTCAAGTGGATTGCTGTTTTTGACCGCCTTTCTCATAAATTACTCTACTAGTGTTTCGCTTAATGCTACACGACATCAGGGAAAGTTTAATTTTGGTATTTTCTGTAAAATTCATTCCAGTATCACCCACGAATTAGGGCAGATTAGTGTAACGGTCGAAAATATTCGCGCATTCGCATAAAAACACTTGAAAAGCAAAGCTTCTAAAGCTTGATCTCAAAGCCTGCTAGGAACATATTAGTTTGTTTGGCTCCTGTTATTGTAAACCACTGCAAGGGAAATTAATTTCTAAATCTGTCTGTCAAATATCCGTTTGAAGTATATTTGAACAAAGCAGCGTGCGCTGATAACGCATCAGTGGTTATAGATGAACTACACATACCTTATCTTGCCGACAGTCCAGCTATCAATAATTCGGTCATGCCGCTTTCTTTAGAGGTTCGACAAACCTTTTTATAGAGAAAAGACTTATCGCTATCATCTCCAAGATTTTGATAACAGCTACCGGGCTAAAAATAAAATCAACAGTTGGTAAGGTTACGCCGTTGACTCTAGCTGTAACGCTAAGCGGTGAACCTTTTGTTTATCAATGCCTTTTCATCCGCGCAATTTTCCAAATTCTTCAGAAATAAAGTAATAACGAACTCAGTTTTCCAGAGGGAGTAACCGGGGAGGCTTTCATTTGTAAGAAAACTGACAGAAATCAAAGTCTAGCTTTAATACATGCTAGGGCAAGTGATTTCTCTTCAACGTCTGGAAATGTATCACGCGAATATTTGTTCAATCAAATTCGTAATTGCTTGACTTTCGGTTGAAAGTTAGTTTTTCTTCCCATTGTTAAAAAATTTCATTTTGTTGGTATTCTGGTTTTCTATATTTTGCATATTTCTTTACTACCATCTAAGAAATTGTGCAGAAAGGCATCCTCTAACTTTTTACAATCCTGAGTTAATCTCAACAATGCTTCTTCGAAGGTCAAGACCGAAAAGAAATTAATTCCGGCCGGTTTTGTGAACTATCGGAATCAGATCAGTTGACCTCAGGAAGGAATTATTAACTGAAATTATGTCTTGAATATTAATGTATTGGAGTACGGAAGCACTTACAAAAGGCGGAATTAGACAACATTTAATCTCAAGAAGGATTATGAGCGATATGCGAAATATTGGACGAAAGTTAAGCATTGTATCGATATCGAAAAACTTCAACAACGGAGCTTTTCTTCTACATTGTAACTAAATTCACGATTCAAACTACATCATTGAAAATTTAGGTATCAAATGCTACGAAACCAATTTTAATGGTTTGAAATAAGAGAAAGTTCTGCGGCAAGTCCAAATTCTACATTAAATTTTAACAGAAATTGCAAGCAGTCAGTTGACTAGAAAAAAACAATTTTTCTACATCTAAACCGAAACAGTAAGAAATAAGATTCCTCCAAATTAGAAGCCGACTTGTGCTTGAAATTTACGGTAGCCAGAATTCTTTTCTGTTCCCTGTCAATGCATGCGCGCTCGTAAACTTATTACCTGAAAACCACGAACAAAGTGGCTTAGTAAAGCAATTTAGGAAAAGTCAATTAAGACGAAATTCTCAAATCGTTGTGAAATACTTTACCAACCATAGAATTTTTCATCTCCTAGTAGGAATTTCGTTTATTTCGCAGGTTATTGCAAAAATTCTTTTGTTTGTTGCACAGAACACACAAGTTGCGTCGTAATGCTCACTTCCGACAAAAGCAACGTAGATTGTTGTAGTCAGTTGTGAAAAAATCTTCCTTTTCAATTAGTGGTTAATTAAATTTTTAAACGGAAATCCCAGAGCAGTAAAATCCGATCTTTTGCTCAGATTAGGCTGCTTTATTGAAGAGTAAGTACATTTAAAGATGTTGAAAAAACCACAAAATGCAATAAACTCCACCAAACTCCTTTGGCGTTAAACTTTGGTGTCGTGGGAACAGACCTCGTAGCAGTTTTCATTTCAAAATGACTTGAGATTGGACATTCCATTGGTGGAAAAGAACTTACTTCGGTAAAGAAAAAAAGCCAAATTCTTTCAGTTCAAATAAATTTTCAAACAAAAGAAAGCCATTTTTAGAAATGTCGGTGCATCAAACAGGAGGGTACCTAAGTCAGCATTACTTCTATCAACTTGTGAAACACCGAGGGAAATTGGTAATTACACGGCAGAATTAATGTAAAAAGGTTTCAAAAAACCACACCGGAATAAAACAAATGAGCTGTCCGAATAAGTCTGGTTCGCATAAGCAAATGAAGGATTCTTTGCCATTCGGGAATGAATAGAATTGGGTGTGTCCCCTTCTTTTCAACGCTTACTTAGCTCACGAAAGCCACACAATGGGATTCTTTGCTTTTTGAACGGCTGAAACTCTACCACCTAAAGTGGCTCTAAGATTGTGTTGAATATGTTTATAACTGAGGGGTCCTGATACAGAACTCGCCGATAGACTCTTGTGTTTTGTGACTGACAGCTAGGGTGCCCCTTTTAACCCGTCTGCCATAGTGAATTTGTGTTAAACACAAACAGCTTTTGCCAGCCTTCAGAAAATATGTTAGTTTTTCTAACATTTAGAATTTGATCATTCTGAAAATGTGAAAGTAATGTCTTAACATGAGCGTATACCTTTACACGTGTTATGAATTATGTTCGTCCTCTTTTCAAGCTTTCCGCAGCAAAGTCTTTACATAAGCTGATTGTGATAATATTTTTCCATTCACCCTTGCATTTCACCTTGCTGGTGATTGCAAGGATTACATTTCACACGCTCAGTGCTTCATCTAAATGATACAATTCGTGCGTTAAATTGCACTACTTTAAATCAGGATTAACGATGAAAACCAAACATTAGAATCTTGATATAATAATATGACGAACTGTAAAACTTTGATAAGCTTGCTTCATTTACCTCAGTGATGTCTGTAAATAACAGGTCAACTGAAATCGATCCCAGAGCCAATAAATTTTAAAATCTTATTTTAAAAGCCGGATTGTCTCCTTGAAAAAAAAAAACTATTGAGAACTCATTTATTAATTCTTATCTATTGGATGTCACCCACATCCTTGCCTCAGGCGGAATATTCGGTGTGGTTTACACGAACTCCATTTTACAGTCCTTTTGGTTGAAGGTGATTGCAACTCAATTCCAACTACACCGCGACTGGAACAAATCGTGGAGAAAACCCCCAGAAAATAGGGATAAGTGCACAACGAGCAAAGATATTTCTAGACGAATTGCGAGTAACTGGAGAAATAGTAATGATCACTATCAAATTCTTCATTCCTTTCAGAAGGGTGCGTAACGAAACTAAGGAGCTTGTCTGATATAAAGTGCTGCATATACAATTAACTAAGCCAGGAATAAATCTTCGACAGGCAATTTATAATATAACCACAAAGCGTGATTAGAGCACGAAACCGCGGGAAACTTGCGGGAAACTTGTGAGAAACCTGCGATCATGGATGTGAGCCAGATACACTCTTGATCCAAGTTACGATTGTTTGGTTTAATTTGATTATATGGCTGAGGAAGTTACCTAAGTTTAAGGAGAAAGATAGATTTGGCATCGTTCCTAGACCTTGAACATGATAGTGTACTTTTGCGGATTTTAAAAAAGTCCACTCAATGGAGAAGATTAGAGAAGCAAAATACATCGGAAATATGTTATCATTGACAGGTTTCTAGAAAGCACAAATTTCGTTGACATGTTTTTCCTGTTTGGTTCACGCGAAACACTGAGAACTTCGTTAAATTTGGAAAAATGCTTGTGATTTCGAGTAAAAACGAAGAGACTGGAGTGAAACTCGAGAAGAAATGATGACTCAAAAAAAAACAAACGCCAAAACCCAAACACACCAGCACATAAGCTAAGTGAAATCTTAATCCGCTTCATATCCATTATTACGATTTGAACTAGAATTTTCTCGTTCATGGAATGAGTGATGTTTATAATAACAGACTGTTTATTTGCCACATCATAATTTCTTATCTCCTTTTTCTTGAGTGTCACAAAGAGCCTTAGAGAGGATGAACTAAAAATATTTTTAAAGGAATGATTCCATTTCATGATGCGGCTTATAGGAGTTGAGACTGTAAACAATGAGAAAAACTGTCGATAAACGATAGCACGACAACTTCCGGATTTTGAACCTCTCTTTTTAGTTTTTTTGTTGACTTCTTGCGAGTTTGGTTTTGTTGCCCTTTGGCGAAAATTATAAAAATCATGAATTACTTGTACGACACCTTGTAATACACAAACACAGCTTAAACTGATAAAGTCACAAGCTAATACGTCAATAGCGATTAAAATTAGGCGTCTTTAGGAGATAAGGGTTTTTTCGCCTTTCGTGACTGCCAGTTAGTGATGATATCAGGGATTGAGGAGAAAAAGCATTTTATTTGGTGGGTGCAGCCATGGGAAAGATTTTACTTTATCAAGAATGTTTCTAAGTTGATTGAATGACCACGGAAAGGTAATTTCCTTTATGAAAATCTATAGCAATTCACGCCTATTGTATTTTAACCACACTTCCGGATATTTGTAAAGTCCAGTTTGCTTCTTCCGGCTAATCTCTGAGCTGTACGAGTTAACGAAGATTGGACTCCAAAACCTATGCTGTTAGTTCGTGTCCGTGACCCAGAATTCAATATCTTGAGTTAACATGCAATCCTATCGCCAGAGAAAAAAGAGGATAAATTGTAAGCTTGTTCATCAAATAAGGAAATCATGCATATTCAAATTAAATTAACCCTCCTTCCGGACTGGAACATCAGCATATCCATGAACGCCTTAATATGTTATAAATCCCATTCGCAAGGGAAAATAATTTGGAAAATAACTCAGATATATACATACTCCAACATCATAAGCAGCGCTCTGCCTTCCAAATTTTGTTTAATTTGGATCCATTTTACTGAAAACGTCGAGAAACACAGCATTTGATTTCGTTTCCATGTCGAGAAATAAGCGAGTCAGCGACGCATCATTGCATAATTGTTTTTTCACCGCGAGGTAATGTGCAATTCTTTAAAGATGACATTGAGTTATACATGAGATACCTTCAGGTATTCGAGTAACATGTAGACGATAGGGGACTGTAGGGCATACCCTTCCAGCAGTTCTTTAAGATCTACCTTGGGTGTTCAATGTTAAGATAATTTACCAGTTCCTCTCACAAAATAGAACTGTGTCGTTGAAATTTTTTTGGAATGTAACATTTCGAAAGCTCATTGAACACCTTAGAAAAAGTTGTTCTCATAAGGAGAAAAACTCTGCCCACGTTCTTGTTCAGGATTAAAAATATTCAGACGCCTTTATCACTCATGTCGACTAGCTTGTCTGGGTTTAAAGGGTATTGGCCGGTTTAATCCACTGGGATGGCTGCGCTCTCCTACTTAGGCAAGCTTTTGGATACATCTTAACACAAATGCACTCCACCGAGTTTTTTTATAAACATTACACTGATCAAGGCTTATGACGTCATTATGCATAATGTTTGTTTATGAATGGATTGTATGTCATTCAACACTGGGCTGCAAGCCATCGTAAACTTCATTCATAACTACTAATGTGCCAAACGGACATAAAGTACACTTTGAAAAAGATGAGCTCGCTGAGACCAGCTGTCTTAAAGGACTAAAAAAGGGTCAGTTGTATCAATTGTCTTAAGCATTCTCTTTCATAACTGAGGAGACTTCAATCGATGCGTCAACCTCTTAGCTGTTGTCTTTCATCCCGCTCTCTCTTTTCATGACCTAAACTGCAGCAATAGCCCACACGGAAATAACGTGCTTGTAAAGCCATTTAAGACGTGGGTGTTGCTTTTTATTTAAAGAACAACTTTATTTTTACTTTCAGTCAAACGTCGCAACTGTAACTGGGGCAAAATTTAGCATAACGAGAGAAACTCTCCGGAGAATAGAGAAATAGACAAATTCCTTCATTTTGTTAAGCAAGTGCTCGATTATGGAAAGCGCATGATACGCTATTTTTTTCCTATGGATATTTTCTTATGTAAAAAATCAACTTGAGCTGCGACTTGGGTAGGAGTTTTGTGCAAGCTTCAAAACAAGAGTTACAAGAGTTAATGAGTTGCAACGTTACATCTGTTTTTAATTCTGGGGTTACTTTTCTAAAGGCTGGTGATAACTTGAATCTCTTTCTCGGGCGCGGGTGGTTACAGAATCCTTTCGTCTGTTAGTTCATGAACCATTCTATTGTTTCATTGTTCTAAAAAAAAAGGGAAAACACTCCTCTCAAGATTAAACCAAAAGGAAGACGAGTAACGGAGAAAGTCGCCTTTATAATCATAAAATGACGTGAAATAGGTCATTGAGGTCGATAAATAACCTACAAGGTAATGTAAGCCAATTTGGGTCGGTTTGCTCCATCTGCGTATCAGATCGTTACACGTCAACATTAACAGTTTAAATAACAATAATAATAACTAGGTTTCTGTGGTTGTTTATGCTCCATAATGTCGGAACAAAAGAATAGAGAAGGTCCTTTTTGATAATGTGTTTGTGCTTGATTGTAGCATATAGTTGCCAACACATGTCACGGAAAGTCATTCGTTTTTTCTATAGAAGTTCACACTTCATTGCTTGAGATTATTTGACTCCTAAGCATGGAGGGTTTAAGACATCCCTAAGAAGAAAAATTATCTACTTATGGACACCTAAATCACGTTAAATGAGCGTAGCTGGTGAATTTGCAGCTAATTACATACCCAAACAACCATCTTGTGAAACAAGTTTGTTTGTGTCTTCTCCAGCTTTAGCCCACTTAGCGTGTCAAAAATTTAAGGCAACTCGACAAGTGATAAACGATCTCACAGCAGAAATAGATTCTTCTCTTAAAAACGTGATTGAGATATGATAATCAGCAGTTAACTGCGTTCGTTAAATCTTCTCTCGATGTTCAGTCTGTTGGAGCTGGTGTGTGGAGTCATCAGGCACGTCGTACGCACTTCAGATTACTTTACATCAAACTCGGTACACCACACATTTTATAGGAACTACTAATATAGGTAAGGCAAAGATTTTTTTCGCTCATAAACAAGAAACCTCATTGCGTGCAGTTTAGCATAGGTAGTTTGGCGGATTTTGTTGTTTTAACTGATAAGGATCATAGATTAAAAGCAAGTGATGTTGAGAAGATGATAAAATCGCCCCGAAACAAATGGTATATTGACACTAAAACCAGAGTGCCAATGTCATTTAATCGACGTTACATAAGCACATTCTTACAGACGAAATGTCTGGAGGACATTCGCTGTCTAGAAATTTTTCATTTCTCTAGCCAAATCTCTTCTACACACTTTCACGTAAACTAACAAACGAGTTTTGTTTGTTATTGTTTTTACACGACTTGTTTCTTTTGACTTGAAGTAAGTCTGGTATCCAAATATGCGCCGGTGCTCACAAGGCTGGACAATCTCAGGCCAAAGAGGCATTCGTTGTTACGCTCCTGATACAGAGTGCAATTATTGTTTAAGCACCCCTTGGGCAAAAACTTGGCCTTTTTACAGCTGACAGGAGAGTGTTATTCGACTGAAATTACGCTTTTTAAAGCAAAGTTTCGTGCTTTCGTCGCCATTTCTAGCTAGCACAGACTTTCGAAAGCACCTCTTGAAAACAACTCAAGGCTAGAGTTAAGACAAAGATTTCGTCTAGGTTTTGACAATATTAGAGGCTTCTCAAGCTTGTATACGTGACTATTAAACAACGGGTTTTTAAAATGACGCATCCTAACGAGAGATAAGGTACAAAAAATAGGTCTGTTTTGGGATAAGGGAGAGAAACAGAGGCGCGGCGAGGCAAGGCGAACAGTTATCAGTAGATAACAGTTGACAAGTTAAGCAGACACTATGATATTTTGGGCAGCCGGGGAAAATGGCCACCGAGTCGTAATGAGAATATACCAACTGGATAACCCTAAGATGGCTTTAGTAATGACTACTTTAGGTGTTCACTGCTATATGTGGTTTTGACATCCTCATAGAACATACAGGTGCCGAACGGAAAATGAATGTTGGCACCTTTCGTGCTGGTTGACATTTCTGACACACATAAATTTTGGAAAATTGTTGTCAATTTTCGCCAATTAAATTATCGTTTATCTTCTGAGGACAGGCGTATCGTGTCAATTATTTTCATTAAAAAATCATCGTCCTTCGATTACCGTCAAGTGTGTGGGGTTTTAAGTGTAAATTGTAACCCTAACAATGGCTAGTTCTTCACGACACCGTGAATTTTAATGCGTAATTAAGGTGGCTCTGTGTTGTACTAGGCCATTTTGTATTATTATGAAACTTTGTGGACAACATCCGGCCATAACTTGTTTCACTCACGGTCGAAAATATTTTTAGGAAATGTAAATGAAATAAGGGGATAAATCTTCGTCCAGTTGCCCTATTTGTTTAAGAAACTTTATACTTGAAATATTTGCTTTGCCAGGCAAAGCCTAAAGCTAGGATATCAAATGAAAGGTTCATTCTGTACGATGAAGTGATCTGAGGATTTTTGGCTGGTTACCGCATGATTATGCTTTCACCCAGTACAAATTAAAAATCGCTCAGTTATTTAAAGACACTGTTTTCAACTGAAGCTCGCACCGCGTATAAGGCGCTAAGTACAGGGTCACTGGACACTTGACTTTTTTATGTTTTCGTTAGCACTGTCGGGATAATTTAAAAGCAAGAGAGAGTTTTTTCAAGAACTCTGGAATTGTTTATCTAACCATAAACCATTCGCAGAAATGATTCCTAAGTCTTACGAATAAGCTGCATCGTTGATAACCAAACAAGCTAGTACTTATTAATGAAATTTGGAATTTTTCTCGTTAGGAGGAACCTTATTAGTAAGAGCTTTTCCCTTTTTGTTAGTTAATCGTTACTGCAAAGGGTAGCGAAGTAATCCAATTACGTTATTATTTACGAGATCCGAACTTTTGGCATCGCAAAATTTAGGAGTGAACAATAACAACTTTCAAGGCATTGAATATTTACGAATCGTTTATTTGAATCGAAAAGGCGGCTGTAGCTTTTCCCTATGTCGACTGAAACTTTTCCTAATTCCTCACATGATTTACTTTAAGAAATGTCGTGACAAGCGTTTTCTTTGAGTCCTATTCGGTACACCTGCCAAACTCATATTGGCTTTAGGCGGTCCCATATCCATTTCTCCCCCTAAAATAAACACTGTATTATACACTTGGGTGATAAGTGTCGTATTTCACGCACTTGAATACTACGCTGTCCAGACGCTTCCAAAAGCGCACATCAAACATACTTATACTCTACCTGGGAGAGCGTCTGCTAGTGTTGTGTTAAACGAAATAAAACAAACGCGCGCGCTAGAAAACCCCTGCTTCGATTTGAAAAGTGACCGAAGAGTCGTCGCATGTGCTTATCAACTCCTTATCGGTTCGGTATGGGTTATTAATGTCACTCTTATTCGTTCGTTATCTGTCACAATCTCGCGTGATTGTCATGGCGCCGCGAATCTAATGATTTTTTCTTGGTTTTGTTTGCAAACAGCCAGTGACTTCGCTTGAGGATTCACGCAAGATGAACGCTTCTCTGGTCGCTTTTGCTGTGCTTCTATGCCTCAGTCGTTGTTTGGCGTTTGACTGTCCGAAACAGTGCAGTTGTGGGGAGACGATCCGGTGCAAAGTGAAAGACTTGAGAATCTTAAAGAAGATTTTACCTACCAATATAACGCGACTGTAAGTATATTTAAACGCAAAGCGTTGGACTGAGCTTATCACAGAGATATACGCACCGGCATAGTCCGCACTAACGTGCATGGTTTGTCTTAAAAAATAAATTTAAAATTAAAGTTGAGACAATAAATATGACGAAGTCGTAAAAGGAACTTTTTGAAGTAATGGTTAATTCGAGCTCTTCTGAAGAAGAAATATGATTTATCATAAACTAATTAATTCTCAGTGATGTCTTGCGAGGAAGAAGTGAAGATTTGGAATGGGTTTTGCTAACTTTAAACTAGACACTGAAGTCTAATGCAAAGAAAAACAAGCTTAAATCTGTTTTTCAGCTTAAAAGTATGAAAGACTTTTTGTTTCTTACATCCTCGGCCAGGTCATCTTGTAAAACCGCAAAACGTGACCTTAAAAATAAAAAGTGAAAGAAACGTTGAAATATATGGAACGTTTTCTTTCACAGATCGGGCTTGGGTGGCCAAAGTTAAGTGTAGCACATTCATATGCAAAGGAGATTAGTGGCATCAAAATATTTGTTTTTCGGGGAAGTAACTCGAACTGTTTCCAGTAACTAAATTCAGTTTTTGTGATCCGGAAATGAAAGGAGGAAAACAGATGAAAAGTTAATTACTGAGCACGTACGCTTGCTATTTAATGGAAGATATGGTTTTCGTTTAAAGTGTTCGAATCAATTTAATAACGTAATTACATATATCAAACACGCAACTACAAGCAACATAGCAAAGAAAACTAAAAATGCTCTAAAATTATTTGTGAAAATTGGAAGCCAATATTTGAGTTTAATCTTTCAAGTTAGAGCGCTTAGATTGCCCCAAACTTGAGGGACTTTTATGATGGCGGAGTGCAATTTTAATTTTAAATGAACACGCAGGTTTTGGAGCTGTTCTTACTGAAAATTATCAATGAAAAAAAAGTGTAATTGTTAAAACAAAAGGCGATTAAACGACTGATACCCTTACTGTTGGGTTTCCCCGAAAAGAGATCGCTTCGATTAAAAAATTTATAGAATTTGCGAACACTGTTTATTCAAAGCATCAGGGACCCTTTAACTCTCATGGGTGACCAAGACAGAATTTCTCCTTACAATGTTAATACAATTTCAAGTAGACAAGTGATGAGAACAAATGAAGGTATCAACTAGGGAATTATTAGTTGATCCAATACCAAGTTCTCCGAAGTAATATCAAAAGAATTGTATGGCAGACACTAAGAAGAATTATTAATGAGATCTTGGGATTGAGAGGATTGAATTCGGCACCACTTCATTTTGGACATCATTGTAGTCAAAAAGGAACTCGTACAGCGAAGCTTTCTCTGTATTTAAAAGGTACTAGACCTGTCTAAACTTTTATTTCTTACAACTTTTAAGTAAAGATGATTTAATACTAAACATAGGTATATATATGAAGATATATAATTAAAATGAGGTTCAAAGGTTGGTCATTTATTGCAAAACGAACCGAGATAGTTTATTTACAACAGCCGCTATCCTCGAGGAAAATTTTCCACGCGAAACATGATAACTTTCGTTTTTCAATATTGTTGACAGTTTCTACTACATGATTTCATCGTTTAAACGTAAGAATAATGTGGAGGCTTAGTTGATATGACTGTTAAAGTGATGTGAAAAGCGAAAATTCCGAAACTGACGAAAGAAACAAAACAAGAATGCACTTAACCTTAGCCAGTGTTGAATTCACCAAAAATCTCACAGTCATTGACTTGTCACCCAGTTGTGCCAGGTCAAGGTTAGGTTGATAATTAACCCTTTGTGGGGTGATTTTCTCTCTGGATATTTCCCAGAATTCTAAATATGTCCGTATTATGAGAAGTCCAATTTTGTGGTTTATCTTGATTTTTCTTCCAGTGATCTCTCGTCAGATGACATCACAAAGATTCCTCCAGGAACATTTGAAAACTTTACTTCGCTGCGATACCTGTGAGTACTCGTGATGTATTCATGTTGCATGTTGAGGCTAAAAGAGAACACGAACGATTAAAGGAACTTAAATATAGAATCTCTCTTTGAATTAATACACATATCGTTTGTTCTTTGCAGATCTCTCGCAAACAATTCTATCAGATATCTTTCGAGACATTCCTTCAGAGGACTTCGCAATCTTCGAGAATTGTATGTATTGGTTTTTTCTATTTCTATTTCCATCATAATGTGTGATGACAGCTTAGATTATTTGATATAAAATATTTTTGAGCCTCATTTACACTGGCATTAACCTTGGCTGGATCACTTTTCAACGAGAAGTTATTGTAGACAGATTTCCCTTCAACCCTTTACAAATTATCGACTATGAAAGTTTCAAAGTAGCATGCCAGTTTTCTCATTAAACGAATGGGCTTAGCAAGGTTAAAACGTTTTCCTAAATTTCCATCAGCACATACTGCGTAGGACATACAACCAGGGAACACTTGTCAAAGGAAAACATTTCAACATGTACAGGGCCTAAGGTCACCATGCGTTGTATTTTAAAAAAGTGATGTTCATGCTCTTTGGCGATATTTCGTGTCTAACTGATTGTTTCTTTTTTTGGCAAAAAGTTCTTTTCTTTCACGAATTTTCCGAAATTGTATAGTCCAGCCATAATATTGACAATAATAGGTAAAGAGCGTTCAGACTTCAATTGAGTGTCAAAAAACCGAAACCAAAGTAATCCCAGGGACCAATCAGAGCAAAGTTTCATATCATCATTAGCCAATAATAGGTCAAAGTGAAAACCAGCAAACTGCTTGAAGCGCGGGAAAACGCGAATGATCTAGTCGCCTAAGCAAGTTTTGCGTTGAGAAGGATGGTACTAGTTTTCTGAATCAATTAAATAATAAGAAAAAGCAAAGCCAAAGCAGTCCTGGCTGACTTTCGACACACATTGAAAATTTCTCTACAATTTAATTCAAAACAATGTTCTCGTTTTAATCGATATCACAACCTTTATTTATTTCAGAAATCTGAAGGACAACGGGCAGCTGATTATAGACAAAGACGTGTTCGAAAGTCTTCCATCTCTGCAAATCATCGGCGTGGATAGCAAAAATCTTCAAAATCTGTCCGAGGAATTTCGTAACAGGTCACACTCAGTCAACGTAACCATCGATATAAAACAGGAAAAAGTCCATTGCGAGATCTACAAAAAGCCTACAGACGAGTGTATGGCAAATGATTACCCCGTCTGCAATGACGCTATGGACATCAGAGAAGATGTCATGAAGCTCTCTCCATTTCCTAAACATTCGTGCGTACTTGCAAGATGCGAGAACAAACAGAAGAAGATCAAAGTCATTTGTGTAGCTTCTAAAACAAATAACACATGTTGGCCAGGGATGATTGGTGAAAACACTGGAGTAAAATTGGCGTTATGGACTTTCGGTCTTCTCGCAGTCGCCTCCAATCTCCTCGTTTTGGGTACCTTGTTATGCAACAGCGAAGTTCGCCGTGCACCTCTTTGTATTTTCGTCATGAATTTACTGCTGGGGAACATCCTTATTGGTGCGCACATTGTCATAGTAACGGTATCTGATACGGTTACATACGAGAACTCGTCCGAGTGCCATAAAGAACGATGGGAAGCCAAGCTTTGTGTGCCGCTGTTCATCGTCAAGTACATCGGGCTCATAGTTATTGTGCTTTCTCTTTTGCTGGTCACAGTGGAGAGATTTCTCGTTGTCATAATCAAATCTGCTCATTATATTGATACTTGCCGAGCTGTGGGCTATGTGTTCGAGAGTTGGATATTTGCAACCATAGCCACAGTTGTTCTGTGGACTAAAGCGGGAAACTGGGGCTATCTTTGCTCTACATTTGCCACTGGAAAATCCTTCACAGACATAAACAGAGGAATAAATTTGACGCTTGTTAGTATTTGCGTGGTACTTATATTCCTTCATATTTTTATGATTTGCCGAGCACCACGTAGAGATCCTGTACTATCAGCGACAACGGATTATAAAAACACTGTTCGCATGTTCCTTCTTGTATTATCGACGTTTTTCGCCTGGGCAGTTCCGTACACGCTTATTCTCTTCACAGTTCCTGCAATATTAACTGAAACAGTAGCTATGCAAAGTATGGCTATTTCGCTTTCTTTAAACGCTTGCCTTCATACATTCCTGTATTCATTTGATAACGATCATTTGGAAAATCTGTACCGCGCTTTGTCCTGCCGAAAAGAACAGAAAGAGGACGAGTTGGAAGCAGATGATAGTAAAGACAGAAAACGTGATACAGAAATGGGCCCTTTACCTTCAAAGAAATCGCTAGAATCTTTATCCGTGGTAGAAGTTAAAAGCCCCATCAACAAAGAAGCTTGTGTAAAAGTATTACCTGTTACTGAAATTAGACAAGAACCGGAGCAGCAAAGAAGAGGCTTTGAATTCTCCAAGGCCGAAGGCGCAGTGATAATTACGAATAAATCTCCTACAAACTCTCGTCACGAAGAAGCTGTTGTTCTGTTACACTCAGCTCCGTCGTCTCCAAGCACTTTGACGAGGGTCGGCCGAGTGCAAGACGAAGGAGTGAGTGATTGCGGTACGATATCCTCCGACACCAATGTAACTTGGCTGAGCAGCGAATGCCCCAGCATGTCTCCAAGTTCACCAAATGCACTTCTGAAAATCAACGACGGAAACTCGACACTGTCGAGCGATATTTCATCAATTACTCCGTGCCTTCAACATCCAAAGAAAAAAGGCAATTCTATGGAAAAAGACGCGAAAAGACATCGTCTTTCTAAAGGATGCGCGGGTTCTTCATTGGACCAATGCGATGGCGACGACGTTAAAGGTGAATCAACAAGAGATGAAAATCAAAACACGAAGAGAGATCGACGAATGAGCCCAGTGCGTGATATTATTGTTCGTGTTCTATCGCCTAAGCTGAAAAAGAGGCCGAAGACTCTCGAATGCGTTCCGACGCACGACGATTCCAAAACCGAGTTGCCGCCTCCTCACAAACGGACTAAATCGCTCTTAGAAGGGAAAGATGTCGAAGATTTGAACGCTAGCGATGGCAACAGGAGTCCATTGAGACCTCTTTCACCTGTGCGTTTCCGGGACAAAAAGCCTAAAGAGCGTTCGAAAGAAAAACGCAACGGTGTTTTGGTGTTTCGCGCCGGATCGGATGGTTTAGAAATTCATGAAGATGTTACATCACCAACGTCTTCAAGGTCCACAATGTGTGGAGAGAAAACTAAACAAGATGGACCCAACTCTCCTAAATCTGCAAATAAAGCGACGGACTGGGAGCGGCTAGCGACGTTTTTAGTCATTAAACCAGTTGCCCCGAAATCAAAAATAAAGATAAGCGACAAAGAAAAAAAGAAAGCTGGTAATAGTCACACAGATACTTCATCAAAACCTGCAGAAAGGATAAGGATTTACGAGAATCCTGCGATCAGCTTGGAGAGTGAATCTGGCTCACCAGCTTATGAGCCCCGATGTACTTCTCCTCAGTCTCCCACTAGAAGGTTGGCCAAACTTGAGGAGGGCGATAAACTCACGGACCTTCCAACAGGACTAAAGCAGAAAAATCGAATCAGCACCGCTTCCACGGTATCGCGGGTATCTAAGTCAAGTTTAGAATGGGATCCATCTTGCGCTTACGAGTATGGTGATGAAGAAGTCATGCCTCCGCCGCCACCCCCACCCCCTCAGCCTATACCCGACCTACCCCCCACACCCCAACCGAGTCCTGGGCCTGAGAGAAAAGCGGACTCCGCTGACCATGTGGAGTGCGTCCAAGTGAGACTTGACCCAGCTCATCGATACAGCCTTGAGTGGGATCCGACTGGCGTTCAAATGAGGCTGAGTGTTATTTCTCAAGATTCAAATGCAGAGGGGAAGAAAAGTGCCCCTTCACGACAGAAAACAGAACCAGAATACGTTTAAGAAGTGCTCATCGTGTGCAGAAGCCGGGCAAGTAACAATCTATCGAACTGTACACGTGATAGATTTAAAATTGTGATTCATCAATCATTTTCGCTCGCGAACGGTTGACCGTGTTTATCCTAGCTCAAACTAGGGAGTATCCGGTGATATACCCCGAGTGATATTCCCTAATTTGCAAACCTTACGTCCACCACGATAAAAGTCTTCATTCAAGATGAAAGCGTGTAGCTGTTGTCACATAAGAAAGGACATGCGTTTTCGTTCACAAAGTCGAACGAGAGAACTCTCAGAAGTAGACATCCCACACGCAGCAAACAGTAAGCTATCCGTTAACATTTTTTTCCAGTGTGTTGCGAAAATGTTTGATGGATAATAGTCACATTAGGCTTCATTTGGCGCGAAAAGATGCTCGTGCATTTTTCTTTGGACATTAAACAAACTGTTCGCATCTCGGAAGAGATGATGTCCTCGGACAAAAACCCGAACATATTTTCGCCGTAAATGGAAGCTATTGTTTACATAAACGCGCATTCGGTTAGAATTCATCCAAATTATAAGTTATATTTATATCAAAAGTGTTTCTAGAGGACACGAAGTAAACAACATAAATTCTTAGCCAAGCGACGTTCAAAGTATCGTTTATCTCGTAGTATAGTAGCGTTTATCTCGAATACTTGTTTTTGTAGTTATTTGCGAAAAAAGGTTGAAGTTTTACGTTTTCGATTGGTGCTTCAATCCTCTACAAATACTAAACAAAAAACCCCTCCTTTAATAAAATGGATGCGACAACTTCAAAATTTTCCCCCTGCTAACATTGCTGAGGGGGAGAGAAGGGAATAGGGAATCAAGAAGGCGAGTGAGGTTGTTTAAAATTTGCATTTATTCAAAATATGTACATTTAGAGCCAGCGTTCAAGCAATTTTGTCGAAGTTTGGATAATTTATTCGAGTTGAAAAAAACATAAAACGACAAACAACCGCATTTCTCTAAGAGAAGTATTTGTTCGATTCATTTGAATCGCCTTTTAATTTGAACGTTTTCAAAATTAAATGGTATCTGTTAAGATACATTTTTAAGTATTTGGAATTTCCAGACATTTTAGGTTCACTCATTAATAAATTTATCATTTCGGTCGTATTAACGAGTTGTGCGCACCAATTATATAATTCATAACTTTAAAACAATAGCTTGGTTTTAACGAGCTACTAAGTAGTGGAGAAATTTCCAAAACTAACAGATTACACGACAGTGTAACTAGACAAGTTTTTCTTTAAGGAAACGCTTCAACACTTCGTCTACACTGAAAGTTCTGACTCGATGAGTAGTAGAGTTAAAAGACTTGTTTTGTATTCGAAGATGATTGAAAGAACTTATGAACAATTTAACCAAGCAACCCAAAGTCTACTCGGTCAACAGCTGAGAAAGACAAAAAACTCCAAGTTGGCTTTCGAATCCTTTATAGGAAAGGAAAACGAAGACTTCGTTCACTTGAACTAGACTTCTCTCGTATTTCTGGCTCAACACGAAGTATACCAGCAATCACATAGACTTCTATATCGTAAATTTTCTTATTTCCATCCGTAGCGAACATACGTGTTATGAGTAGGTAGTGACAAGCGCACTGACCGCATTTCGTTTGAAATATTTTGTAAGTTATACTTTAAGTTATTACGAAAGAGCGTGTTGTATATATATAAAAGTAACAACTTTAAGACTAAGTATTGAGTAATATATGAACTGGAATTGTCTAGGATAAATATTTATGCAACGAAGTTTAAAAGTAAAAACCATTGTAAAACATTCACACTTTCCATTTAGCATTTATTTTTCAATGTTTTCAAACTAAGACTGCCCCAAGCAGTGCCAAACAACTGACTTCCGAGTTAGCCGCGCTGGTACATCGACACCGTGGTTACGTATTTCCCGCGGTTTGCACTGTTCACTCGCTTGACTACGGTCATGAATTTTCCATTTAGCACATTGACACAATAGTCATGTACTCCCCGCGCTTAGCAAAGTTTCCCTGCTTGACTCTGGTTCGGTGTTTTCATACGCGTGTCACAAGTTCCATGTTACCGAGATTCTTACTCCATCACCTGTTTGTCACTGGTTCCATGTTACCGAGTTTACAACGCGTCCCGTCTTCGTCACTTGTTCCATGATACGAAGTATACAACACTTCAAGTGTTTGTCACAGGTTCCATGCTACCCGTGACACATTTGGTTCCATGTGACTTTGACACTTGGTCAGGCATTTCCCCGCACTCAGCACTATTCCCTTGCATGATATGACACAGCCTTAGGAGCGAGTAGTCACGTGTTCCCTGTATTTTCCGTATATTTGATACCTTTTTCCGCACCTGGCATCTGTTAAATGACCAATCACGACATTAAAGATCGTAACTTTGACGATGCGAAATTTCCAAACAATCTTTTTCCTTATCTCTCTTCGGGAAGACTCAGCTCGAGAAATATAATAGATATAACAAACCACTGGAATGTCAAATGTAAATCTTGAACTCAGCAGAGGACCGCGACCCAGCGGAATGACGAGTAACCTTCCGTCCAGCTGAGGTGGAAACTGTCACCTGATCACGTTGCAACAGTAACTCAACCAAAGAATTCAGAAAAGGAGCCACTTCCTAAGAACAGAGGAGGATTATTTAAGTGTCATTCGCCTCCCATAGATCTGCATAATGTTTTTTTTTTGTCTTTTTGCTTTTTTCATAGACCGAGACAAGTCTGGGGCCCTTAAAAAACTGCGGGAAATATTTCGTAATCTATTTCTCATTCTCTTGATTTAACGCCGAACTAAAAATAAACAAAATTCTACCCTTAATGGAGGAGAAAGAAAGACGGTATCAATAATGAGCTCCAGCGCGAGTTTTCACGTTTCTAAATTTAGTTTTTTTAGGCATGTTTGATGCCAGGCGAATTATAACAATTATAACAAGACAGACCCAGTTATTACAGCAAAAGAAGTGAAAGATATTGGCAATTTTTCAAGGACCTTTCTGTTAACAGGCATATTTTCGTCTTTCAGGTTTACCACTAAACCCCTGAAAAAAAACTCGCAGATAATTCTGGATCAGCCTAAATGCTATAATCGGCTTTGGAAAAACCACAGCCACAAGTGTACGACTTCATAACGTTAATCGATTAAGCTCAGAAGCCATTAAAGTTAATCCCAATTGATTTTACGTCAGGCTTGATAAGCTTCTTCTTCTTCCCCATGACCTCCTTGCATTTACAGAGCATTCCGTGTTTTCACCCATCATTTCATCACAAACATACACACATTGTTTGCGCTTATTCAACTTAACCTTCCCTCTCCCAAGATCTCACCAGTAATTCTCCTTACTCCATGCCATACAACTACTATAATGAAAGTTCGGAGAATTTGGCATTGGTTCAACCAATAAGATAATCCCCTAATTCAATTGTTTCTTTAATCCCATCACTTGTTTGGTTGATATTGTACTGATATTGTAATGGGAGTTCAAGGGTTAATCGTCACCTTTCGAGGTGTGATTACAGAAATTCTCCTTTACAGCTACCACATTTTCCTTGAAAAAAAGTTGAGAGAATTTGGCTCACTATGAAGGAAACACCCTCCAGTTGACAAGTTTTTCAATTCTCATTTCCTCTCTGCTGCATATTGTCTTGAGATAATTGGGAGAAGTTACATGTTGATCTTCTGTAACTACGGGCCCCCTTACCATGACTCCTGCCCGTCCGTCCAAGGTGCGACTATCTGCCAGTCGTTTACCAGTAACATTTGCAATTCGTAGCACAGGAACTTGCCATTGTTCTTCAAACTCTCGAATTTCCTGTTCTGTGAAATCACTGTTCAAGATCTGGTCCAGTTTGTTTCAAGTTAAGGTCGCTGTCAAACCACAAAATCCCCAAGAAGATCGCTGCATCGTCTTTAAGCTTAAAAAGTGGATTATTGTTAATCAGGATTAAGTGCGAATGCATGGGCTTCAGTTCGTAATCGTATTTTTTGAAGTGTTTCTCACTAATCACATTCAGACAAAACAATTGACTTGATTGGTCAAAGAGCACGCTTAAATCCAGGACCTACAGATGGAAAATTCCGTCGATAACATTTTAGAAACCACTTAAAACAAGACTTAAAAGATAGCCTGGAATGCTTAATATATCAATTGTTGAAGAGGGATTACTTTATAGATGACATGTGTGTCAAATCCAAAACATGTACGGTTAAAACAAAACTTGACCCGGAAAACCTAATTTTAAAGCATTTTCCACCAAAACACGACATGAAAATACGGGCACGCATAGATATAACGTCTAGGATTCTTTCATTATCAGACGATCCCAGGTGGCCCGCTTCTAGTTCACTATCAGCATATCTTAATCCCTGACGAAGTATAGGTTCGGCAAAAATACTTTATAGGTGTGGTCAAATTATTTCTATCAAAGAACGGTAATCGCTTTCTGTTTTAGTCAGAGGTCGTTGAGTTTTCCTGATTTTCACGAAATTGAGAAACAAGGTAAATTGTTAAAGAATCTGAGGGAGTTGACCAGCTTGATGAAGTATTTGAAAGAAAGGATATCTAGTTGCCACAGCTATCCGCAAGATCTTCTCTTCTTGATCCAGAACGCGATTTATCTGCAGAGGAAGTATTCCACAATGAGATACCAATAATGTTTCTTTTTTATTATTATTATTACTATTACAAAGTATTCCTAAACAAAGGAATTTCTGCAAAGAGGTATTGGATTTGAGTAACACACGAGTTTTCAGGATAAATAATCACTACCACTTGACATTGTGGTGTATCTTTAACAGAACACATAATTACATTTGCAAGGAATTTATAAATTCCCCACAAGAAAATAATGTACATACTTTTTTTAGACTAGCTATAACAACTATCTCTCTATTTTTGTCTGAAATAGTTGGAATGTTGCATTCCACTGTTCAACCAAAACTCAGATCATTAACAGACTCTCTCCCAGAACAAGAAGAGGAAGGACCTTAGTGAGGACATTGGTTCATATCTATCTGAGTTTATCTCACTTTTAACAGACTTACCTGATTTGGCAAATCATCAAAACTTCCTCTGCAGAAAATAGATCAGATGATTCAGATGATCAGATAATTCAACCAAACATTGATAGGCTTTTCTAATTCTTTTTTTTTTTTTTTTTTTTCCAAATCTGTTGGTCACCAATTGACAACTTTCCCTGAAATTTTTAGTCACCAGATATATTTTCTATTTGCCATGGCAACAAAACTGATTGCAGCTTGAAATCCTGATTTGTAAACCACTCAAAGTTCACACAACATTGAAAAAAATTCAGAACTTCACATATCACAGCTGGATGTGATTTTCATACATATTTTACAGATATTTTGAGTTAAGGTACACTGCTAACAGCTGTCAAGTACAGTTAACCCTTCAACCCCTAAGAGTGACTGGCATCTAATTTCTCCCTATCATGTCACCCCTGAATCAAACATTAAGGTCAGGAGAATAAAGGAACTGATCACCAACTAAAGAAGCTCTTGATTGTTAAACAAATTCTCTTTGTCAGCACCTTAGGAAATGTATAGAAAACAGTATGGGGAATATGCATACTGATGTCAGGGTGTAAAGGGTTAGTGTACCAGCATTACACACTGTGTACCTGTCTGTGAATGAGAACAAGAAAAGTGCTGCATCAGCTTTCTCTTTGAGAGCCTATGGAGAGAACAGTGGGCTCCATTTACTAAAAGGCATTGACCAGAAACTAAAACTGCATAAAGGCCTTGTGTGAATCCACAAAGCAAAATTTGCCCTCCCTGCACTTCAGTGGCAACAAGGTGATAAAGACATCTTATGATTACTCTCTAATTTAGTAAAATTCACTGTTTTTGCTTCCCATCCAGAGGGGCAGGAATGTTGGCTAGACTACAAGGAGTCCCTTCTTTTGGCAAAAAAATTAACTAATTAAATAAGAAATTCCTGAAAATAATTATAGCTATAATTCAAACTGTGTCTTACTGGTAACAGATGGTCATATTTTCTGATAGCATGTTCACCACAGTCCCAGAATTGAAGCTTAAACATCACAACTTTCTGATTCTCTTTCAGCTAGGTAATGAGATGAATTAAAGAAAATTTTATTACTATAACAAGTTTGGAATAAAGTTTGTACACTGTCATTAAAAAAAACATCACCTAGGATATTCTTGCTAGATGGAGCAAGATATGAAGTTGATGAGGATCATGAAGTCATAGAACAGAGCATTGTGCTCATCTTAGCAAATATCTTTCATACTAATCAAAAAGGTTAGTTATTAGAGACTGCATCTTAATTTATTTAAGAAAAAAAAACACATCATGGTCTTGTGAGCAAAAATTCTGTTTTTTTTTCATTTTATCCATTTGCCATAGTAAGACAGCTCAGGCCTAGTCCAGATTTAAAACTGGTTTTAATGGGGACTGTATAAACAACAACAAGGCCAAACCACAACAATGGGAGCAATGTTCTTTGCTAGAAGCGTCTGGGTTCTTCAGGAGATGAGGCCTATGGTTTATTGCTCTTATCTGAAAAGCCCAGAATGTCTAACTATTTGCAAATGTCACAGCAAAGATAGCACAATCTCCACAGTTATTTTAAGACCCTGAGTGTTGGTCCAGTCCAGGTTTAACCTTTGACCTCCCACAAGGCAGTTCAGCAATCTATGACATAAGCTTACCATGGAGAAACTTAAAACTGCATAACAGCACTGATGCTGAGGTTGTTTAGTGTGATACAAAAAAAAAACCCTCATAGATAAAATAACCCAAGGGATTGAATATTTGCATGCATTGCAAAGATCTTAATAAATTATTTATCTGCATTTTGTGATATTTTAACCATATTTTGAAGAATAGGGTGGTTCACTGAATGCCAGAGCAATCACTGACTTTATTGCAGGAGGAGGAAATGTTCTTGTGGCAATCACTTGATCAATCAACAAGTAACACCAATTTTAAGTAGAAAATCGAACCAGGTACAACTTAGCCAAAGTATACAGAAATTTAAAAAAACTTGTTCCAGTGTGCAGCATTAGGCTAAACTAGACCAGATCTTTGTGTGCATGGCATATTAGTAGCTGACTTTACGTGTGAATTATTTCAGTGTGCCTCTTACTTGAAAAAAAGTCTTGTGCACAGAACAACCATAGTCTGGTGCCTACAGTTTACCTGAAGCCTACAAAAATGCTTTAAGGTACCATAATTGAATCAAAGTTCAGAGTGCTCAACTGATTATTCAACTTACTTTTGCTGGCCAGTATATCACCGATGTCTGAATACCTGGAGTTTCGACGTGATAACTGGAAATTTCTACAGAGGACCAAAGAAAATTCTTCTATAAGACAACACAAAACTCCCTGTTGACACACCTTCAAACATCCATGAAACAAGAAATATTAACTGCTATTAACTTTCCACAAAGCTCTGCTTGATAGTTGCAGTACCTTGCCCTAACAGCTTTGCTACAGTACTCGTTTTTCCAACAGCTGGCTTCCCCGTTAAGAAGATCTTGTAGGACACATTTTCGACGGGAAGTTGCGGCGGTAAGCTTGGGGCCTCAAGTAATCCTAAAGATAAGAAAAAAACCATCAATACATTCAAAATCATGATTGGATAATTAAAATTTTTGAGCATGGCATACCGAAAGATTTTCTTTTGTTTCGGTGCAAAATTCCTCCTAAAAACTCTCGTCCTTCTGGCGTTTCCTGCCATTTGAACTGTACGATAGACCCTCTTGGTCTAAAACCCGCCATATGAAAATAATTCTATATCCTCTTATACGCATAAAAGACAAAATTCACTTTATGTTTTGACCGCCATATTGGAATAATTGACGCATGGCAAGACTCAGTAGACTGATGGCAAAAACAGTAAATATTGCAGGCTCTTCAGACCATGATCAGTAGTCGCGCCAGTCTCCCTCCGTATTAAAATTAGCTTCATGAAGCTGTCATGGATTTTCGACTGAATATTGACAAGAGAAAACACATTAGCGCAAGGGTGGTTAGTATGTTGGGAAAAATATCACTGCAAATTGCGGTTGAAGCTGTGGACTACTAAAGAATCTTTCTGACTGGTAAATATGATTTATGAAAGCCTAACTAGTGAAAATCTGGTGAGCCGATTTCTCTTCGCGCCAAAATTTTGAAGTGAGTGACGATCTAGTTTTTCAGGTGAGATTATTCTTGTGCTTGATTGCGATTTTTAGATCAGTAAATAAGCCTTCAAAATACAGATTGCGAACGTTTCTGGAATGAAGAGAATATATAATCCAAGTTTTTCTATTTCGTTTCCGTTGAGTAAGCTGTTTTCTTGGATCTGGAACGAAAGTCATTTTCATGACCGAAAGTGACGTTTTTGGTATTTACGAGTCAATGATCTTGTTTTGCAGTATCGGCACAAGGATTAAGCTTATGAAAGATCTGATAAATAGTCATTCGCACGTAGGAGGTAAAAAAACGCCTATATCTAGCATCAGATCATCGTTAAATTAGCCACATTTTCGTTCATCTAGAATCATAGTTTTTCTTATGTGCATTCACATTAATGGACCGAAGGCGTCGTAAACATATTCGTTCGTTTTTAAAATCGATTATTGGTTTCCACGCAGATCAGCCGATATTTTCGTCTCTTAGTCAAATCAATTGATAGCCATTCCGCTTTATTTCCTTAGGTAACGGATTGTCATCCACTTTTTTTTTGTTCTTGGACATTATTAAATTCTGTTCGAAAGCGATCGATTTGTATAAATGATCGCTTCACGATCTCTATTAATACATAATTCGCAGGCAATCTGAATGGTAATTTTTTCCATATTATTTATCTGCCAAATAAAAAGATTATTATACAAACATGTTCAGCTGCATTACAGATGAAATCGAGTTTGAAATTTTTGACACTGAGTGATTTTGAGTATGTTGCCATGACCACTTCATTACTTCAGAAGTATTTTGAGTTTGCATAAATTTTGTGTTTGCACATGGATGAGCAATTGCAGCAAAAAACATCAGAATTATAAAGTCACTCAGAGAATAGGTCATGCAGATAAGCCTCATACAAACTTGTAAACCAAAAATGAAATAGATTATGATTTGTCATTGATTTAAGTTTAATTAATAATTGTAATAAGACAGAGTGGAGTCCAGTTCAGTCTGTAATCACACAAGTGATTAACAAAATTAGACAAACACAAAGCCGGAGTATGATTTGTTCATCAGGAGTATGATCACAGACAGAATTGGACTCTTCTCAGTCCTATTACCAATTAATCAAAACTATAGTACAGAGAGAGAAACTAGATGTCACTTATACATTTTTATTACAAAAACAACAATTAACTGAGCAAAATGCAAGACAACAGGATGCCTAGATGTGGAGTACTGTCCACTTACTCAGGCATCACTTGTCAACTGTGTTATTACACTGTCCAATTACAAGCGTGATGTGTTCACTGTCCTATTAGCGCTCAAATGGGGCTGGTGATAACCAATCCCTTGTAAGAATTTTGTTATACAATGTCATGTAGTTTTTATTAATCAAGTAAGTTAAGTGTGAGTTCCATTTATATAAAGGCTGCCATGGCTACATACACTGGATTACTTGAGGTTGGCCTATGGCAACAAAATAATTCATGAGGACTGGTGCAAAATGGGCATTGGTCCAGTCTAAACATAGAGTGATTGATGGATGATATGTCCAAATGATGTTGATGGCACAGAAAATAAAACACTTAGCTAAACATTAAAGCAAAGTCATAGACTTTGAGGTTAGAGCCATCTTGATTATAGTGATTATTCTTGTAGGGAAAGGTGAGAGAAAAGAAACTTAATGCCAACTAAGATACCATTTCAAGTGGTTTACAGTTCCAGTGCTGATGACAACCATCGTGAGAAAGAGCTAGAGGTGCAGTAATAATTTAACCAACAAGAATATAGCATAACAGTGAAGAACAACTCATTAAAAAAACCTGTCTGCCAACAGACAGTTGACAGTTGTAAATCTTTCAGTGATAGGCATTCATCATTTAATTGACTGTAATCATTATGTGTATTCATTGTTGTTTCTTATAAATTATACATTATAGGACATTAAATCATGTTCCTCAGTATATAGGTGTGATGTATGACCAAGTGCTGGCCATTCATTTCTGTTGTTTATGAGTGAATGCTAGATATGATATGTTCAGTATTTTGGTATGCATCCTGAAATCATGGTTCAAGCAAAGGGGTAAACTCACTGTTCTTTGCTAAACACGACATATTTTTAGTGATTGTCACTAACCTCAGTCCTTTTCAGGAGTGCCCCTGGCCTTTGCCATTGAAACTTCTCAATAAATATAAGTCAGTACATACAGCATGCACAGACAGTTATGTATTGTGACCTCTCCCACAAGTTAAGTCATGTTGTTCCTGAAGTTGTGTGTTTATTTTAGCTAAACATGTTAACTCACAGGGCATTGTTCAAAGTAATAAACTGGCCTCACCTGATTTTTAAAAATTCTTTCTTTAGTTTCATAGTCCCACAACAAAAGGATGGCAGTCATCCAGGTACAATACTGTAATAATTAGAACTGTGTATACCTATGAAATCTGATCTTTCAGTCAATTTAAACTGGATGTTTTTTTTTTTTTTTTACTAGATAGATAAATATATTTTAGGCAATGATGATAGTTTGTTCTGAGGTTAATCTCAGAACATCATATCATCAGAAAAAATATTGTATCATTTCTGTAATTTTTGTTATTGTTGATTTTAGACTCATCATCATTATCATTATCACTATTGCTATAATCATGCCTTCAGTTGACATTGTTGTGATAAGAATGCCAACTTAATTCATTAACTACTCTTAACCCAGGGTGAGAGACTCAATGACCTGATGATTAGAGGTCTGGGTTCTAGTCCTAGCTGGGTCATTGCATTGTTGCATTGTTTCCTTCAGCAAAACACTTTCCTCTCAAAGCACCTCTCTCCACCTGAGAGTATGAATTATCAGAGAAGCCTGATGAAATGCTGAGGGACATTTTTGCAATAGACTGGCATTCCATGTAGGGGGAGTATATGTGGTAAAACTCCTTGCTGCTTCATGCTATGGAAACTTATGACAACAAGTAACCGTATTGTCCATCAGGTTCTGTCTTTATCCTCAAGAACTGGTGTTGCTGATGAAAGAGTCAGTGCGCATAAGGAAACTTCAGATACTCTCCCATCAGTTCATGATTTGTAAGTTATGTTTTGTGGTACAACATGTTAGTCATTCATCTTGTCACAAGAGTAGAAAAAATAATCTTAGCCTTGATGAGGAATTGAACCCCACACATAGAGAGCAAGCAGTTTTCAAGAACTTAAATGCATGAACCCAAAGCAAATACATGTGCCATGTACAGTGAAATGCATGTACCATGTACCTTTGAATCAAAGCAAATTTTGCTGGGTAGTATATTTTTCGGTTCTCTTCATCCAGCTTCTTGGCAAATGAGAATAAAAAGGGCTGTCATGCTGTAGAAAGTCACCTGCAATTAATCAGCAGGCAATATACTTGTCACTTTGATAAAAGAAATGATATATAAATGATTGCAGCTAGTAAAGTGGAGGTATTAATCAGCAAAGTACCTAGCGGACAGTCCCCATCATTACTGACATCCAAGTTTCAACGGCTTGGGTGAGTTAGTAAATCTTGTATCTGAAAATATGTTGTCAAATTGTTTAAATGATTGATAATAAATTATGATATTATCTAGAACAAAGCTTTATTAAAGGATCTTTTTGAGGAAAAGGAAATCTCTGTGAAAAGGTTCAGTTGCAGTGTTTGCTTAGATTTAAAACTTCACATACCTTCCAATTTTTTGCTTTTCTTTCACCATATTTCCCTATAGTTTTGACACTTGATCAATCCTTTGATAATGGAGATTTTCTTGTATTTGATAGTGTTTTGTACACATAGTCTTCCTGTACAATAGAGTGCCTATGTACAGCTGTATGTAAGAGTCAATTTTGGTGTTATATTCCTTGCATCTTAAAGATACTGTTGAGGTAGATTGAAGATATAATGATAAATACATTTATGTGTTCAGTTACCAGAAAAGGATTCTATCATAAAATATGCCAAGAAACAGAAACAATCATAGATTGATTGGTTGTTGGACTACTGTTTCTTAGAAGTTACTTTGAAAAAGAGTAACTCTTAAGAGTATTTTGAAGTCTGTTAATATGACCATTCTCTTAAAGGTATGTTGGACTCTCAAACAATGAAAATACTGACTTTAAGGTAAAATGATTTCTAATTTGTTTGTTTGTTTTTCTGTTGTTTTAAGTTGCCTTATGCTGTGGTCAATTGGCAAAATGTGTAAACATGGCTATTTATTTTTAGAAGAACTGTAACATTTTATTTGATTTTCCAGGCCAGAGAACTGAAATCCATTCACCTGGATGCAGAGGGTCATTTTGTGAAACTAGTCTTACACAAGAATCATGTAAACAAGTACAACATTTACAATCAGGTATGTTACATGTGGGAGACTTACTGGCCTGATGTTAAGTGTAATAGACTCTGGGATGTGAGTCCTTGTTTGAGAGCTGGCTTGATCGATGTGTTGTGTTCTTGGGCAAAACACTTTACTCTCACAATGCCATTCTCTACTCAGGAGTAGAAATGAGTACCACTAGTCGCTAGATATTTTGTATGGATATGCAGAATGCGCAACATATCTCCGGAAATAAAAAACTTCCCCCTCTTCTTCTCACATTATAATGCATAACTCATTATTATAAAGAAAAAACATGCTTAAAACAAGCACAACACGCATTTACTTAGTGTTTTCTTTAATTCTGTTTACATATAATTTGATGTTTGTATCCTTTTTTCCTGCACTCTTTTGTTTTCTTTTAAACTACCTTTTTTCTATAAATTGTAAGTAGTGCACTCTATACACTGTAAATGTTTTTGTTTTTTCTTTTCTTTTCTTTTAAAATATATAGTTATCTGTTTAGTCACTCTTCAACCAGTATTGTTTTAAATATTGTATTGCACTGTAACGTACATATTTGTAAAAAACAGAAAACGTAGGTAATGTAGCTATAGATGTAACTGTACTGTAAGTTATTTTCTGTAGCCGTGATGTAAGTAATATAGCTGTAATTAAAGTAAAAAAAAAAAAGGGAAATGAGTACCAGCAAATTGCTAGGAAAGGCTGATGAAATGCTGGGGAGTAACCTTAGTGATGGACTGTAATCCCATCCAGGGGGGGTAATGAAAAGTCGCTTTATACTAGGGAAACAGAGATAAGCTCTGGTTTGGTGGACCACTTTAGTCATGTACAGACATTGCCTTACCTTTATATTACATGTGATATTGTCTTTTTTGGATGTCATTTCAAAGTTGATAGTGTTTTATTTCATTATAAATGTTTTGTAGGTTGGATTGGTTGCTGTGAATGTGATTGGTGATAGGTTGGACACACCCTTTGACCCAGTGGACTCTGATTCAGTAAATAAAGACAACATTGATAAATTTAAATATATTCTGTAATACCATTTTGAGACAAAAAAAGATCTGAGTTCTTTGTGATAAACTAGATGCTGATCTGAATTGACTGTAGGATGCTATACATACATGTATAAACCTAAAATACTATAAATTAAGTCCCAGCAAATTTCACATTTTTCTGAATGAATTCAGCCACCTGCCCAGTTCAGGTCATCCACCTATTACATGTACATTTTCTGATGACAGCTCTGCTTACCCACAGTTTATAACTGTGAGAAATATCCTGCAATCTGAAGTCGCTATTTAGTTTTTTTAGCCTATAGGCTGTGCTTACCAAGAGCTAAAGGAGATATTGTACTTCTGTGTTCAATGAATTTCTACAGTTGTTGAATTTTCATGAATGTATTTTTGATGCAAAATTTTCAAGGAATTTGGAGTTTTGAGTTGGTTTTTCTCAACTGGTTAAAAATGGTAATTGATATTTGGCAATGAGTGGGAAACCATTAAAACAGAGAGAGTGAAAGTAAAGTGGTTAACATGCTCTTATTTTTTTTAATGATTTTTTGTTTGCTTTCCTAGTTGAAACATGTTGACAGTGTTGTGCAGGGATACATGAGCCCTAATGCAGTCAATGGTCCTGTCTGGGGAAGAATTAACAAGTATGAATCAAAACATAGATTAAAAAATTAAAATTCAAATAATGTTGTAGTAATTGACATTGACAACTTCCAAGGCAGTGTAAGACATTGAAGACTTTGGGTTGAGAGGGATGGGTTCAAGGCCTGGCCAGGTTTTTTCGTTGTGTTCTTTGGTAAAACAAGGAAGTAGAAATGGTTACAGGTGAACTTTCAGGGAAGCCTGATGAAATGCTTGGAGGTACACTGTAACCTTGCCATGCACTGATATCCCATCCAGGGGGGAGTAGTGATACTCCTAGTTACTTCATAATGTGGAAACCAGGACAAGCTCCAACCCCAATGAGCCACTTGCCTTGAAGTTCAGACTGCCTTCACCTTTACTTGACAGTATCTTTTACATTTGACTTTTTTTTTTACTTTAGGCCTGATTACATCTCGCGCATGGATGATTTGGCCTTTGACATGTATCAGGTGTGATACAAATTATTTTTGGTAAAGTAGAATACATCAATACTTGACTGTCTTACTCACAAGATTTGATTGTTATTTCTCCTCTTTAGCTACCAGCCATTTCTTTGCAAATAGTTAGGAGAAATTGGTGTTGGATAACAACTAATAATTGATAAGTTTGAGTATTTTCATCACCTCTTTGGTGGATAATGTTGGGATTTTGTGGGGAGAATTTATATGTTAATCACATCCAGGATGGGTTAACTTCAATGCCAAACCTTATTTCCATGCAGGAAAATTTTTTCCATCCCTGCATTTTCCCACAGTTGTCCTTTTTTCCTTCTTCCCTTTCACCCTTTTGCTTTATCCTTCATTTTGCAAGCTTCTCTCTGTGTTACCTTTCCTTCCATTACAATGTAACTGCCTAATTTCTTTGTGTTGATAACACTTTGAACAGGATGCGGAAACTGCAGCTCTTATCAGGAAACTGGATGAAAGGAAGCGAGGAGCTGTAAAGGGTATGTAATAGTGATTCATAATGGCTAATGATCATTTAATATACATGTTTGTTGTATTTCTTCATTCCTTAGCGATTTTCGTTCAGCAACTTCTTGTTCCTCTTGATCATTTATTAAATTCATTTACAAGTCTAGATTCTAGTGACCTCCATTCATTTTTAATGTCTAAGTGTCTTTGAGATCTCCTTGCTACTACATCTTCACATCTACATTATATTTTAAAAGTGAAACACGTACCTCATCATTGTATTGTGGTTTTTGTTTATTTTATCATAAAAATGTACATGTACTTATTCTTGTATGATCTTGTAGTACTGTTACAGTAGTAATATTTATACTTCTTGGACTTTAAGTCATTAATGAATCCTTTTTTGATTTGTATTTGTTACTATCCAGGTGACTGTATGTGGCAAAATAGTAATGAGAATTTTTTTTTCCATTTACTCTCTTTAAAACAGAGGAAAGATATGACTATGCTAAGAAGCTGACAGCTGTCATCTCAGACTTATACAAGGTCAGAATGACTTTCACAAGTTAATTTTATGGCGATTTCGTAGTGACCAGAAATAATGCAAAAATGGTGTTTTGAAAAAGAAAATCATTTTAGAATTTTTCTGACCTTTTTTTGGTTTAATTGACTTAGTTATTAATTGAATTACACCATAACACACACAAGAAGATTTTGTCCAACAATCTAGAGCTTCTTGAGTTTGCAATCATTCCCTTTTTTTTCTCACAACCTTTATGTTCAATTTAGGGGTAATACTTTTAGGAGAAATTAGATGTTGATGTCTTAGAAATAAAATGGTTAAGGAAAATTGTGAGTCATCTAAATTGCTGCACTAAGGTTTGGGGCTTCATTCATGTCTGGATACAAACGGGATGGAAAGCACGATAATTTTTTTTCCTCCTTAAATCAGTAATTGGAGAGTGCCATATGTCTATTGACTAAATAAGCCATAGAAAGATTAGATAAAACACTTGTTATTTTTTGACAGGTTGGTGAGAAGCTGGGAAAGTATGAAGCAGAAAAGAAAAAAGCTGTTGAGTTAGAAGATTTTGATCTTGCAATGGAGAAGAAGGTATGTATAACTATTTTTTTTAGATGCATTTTATTGTTTTTATCATATCTTGTAGCTCACTAAATTTTTTTCCATTATGTCTTATTTCCTTAGAGACAAAGTGATGAATTTCGTTTGTATGTTTACAAACAGCTGGACATTCAGGAGCTTTTGGAATTGGATGGGGTGAGCCAAGTCTAATTAAATATCTTCAAACATTTTTGAGGAATTTGGATAAAATTTATATTCATTTAATGTGGCTGATAATTTTTTTATTACATATCTTGTTTTAGAGAAAAATACATGAACTTAGGCCAATCAATATAAGTAAGTATATTTTGATTCAGTTATAAGGTAACATTTATTTGATCAAAACCCTTTACACCCAAACATCAGTATGCATATTCTCCATATTTGTCTCTAGTAAGGTACTGATAAGGATAATTTGTTTAACAATCAAGAGCTTCAATCATTGGTGGTTTCATTTAGGGGTGATATTTTAAGGAAAGATTAGATGTCAGCTACATGTATGCTGTTGACAAATGAAGCACTTCGATGTTTACAGAGCACTTGAGAAACTAGAGTTACTTCAGGTCCCACTTTGAGTAACCTTTTACATCTCTCCAAACTTCCCATGTGTTCTATATCAATGAATTCACTGCTGATGCATGGATTAATTGATAATCATTGTTACCACTGAACAGCTTTCAAAGCTAAGATGATTCTGTAACATCCACTGCCTTACACTTGTCGTTATGCTCATTTAACCACCAGCTCCACCACCACTGCCTCCAATAGCAACAGATCAGAATAGACAGCACCCTCCCCCTCATCACCATGAGGAAGGGAGGAACACCCCACCCCTGCTGGCACCAATAAAACGACAACCTTCTCCCAGAGAAGACACACCACCTTTGATCAGCCCGAGGAAGGTAAAGGAACATAACAGTATTTTACAGTTAAAGGTTAAAGCTGCCGCGGAGACACTCCTCAGCTTTTTCTACATTTCCCTGAAAGTTTGACAGTAGTCAGGTCAGGTCAAAAGCAGGTCAGAGAAAATAGGCAAATTAAAGCTCGATATATTCTGGAGGAATAAAGGCTCTGTGAAATTTATGAAATATCTTTCTTTGGAACACAAGACCAAAAATCTAAAGGCCGTTTACAGGGTAAAAACAATCGTGTACGGTCCCGCCAAGAAAGGAGTGTGAACCCCTAGTTTTTTTGGGAGGCTACAGCCCCTTGTTTTGTAAGGCTTTGATGCCAAAGACGCGTATGGCTTCAAAACTTGAAAAAACTTGGGGCACATACAACTTTCGTCATTTTGACGGGATTGTGCCCGATCAATCATTTCAAACCACTTTGCACAAGATAAGGTAAGTTGCTTCTTCCCTTGGGTAGAATTCTTGTGAGAAGAAGCCTACTGTCTGGAATTGCTACCAAAAGTTCTTGAAATGAAGCCCTGAAGCCATTAAGTCCCCATTCTGTGGAAACAATTAGAAGAGTGTACACGCCTTCCCGTCCTCCTCTCTTTCCCCCCCCCCCCCCCAAAAAAAAGGTCAAAACTTAACTTCAGTAAAATGAAAAAACTTTTATTTTTTTTATTGTTAAGGATGACGATGCTGATGATCGACCTCTTCCTGCTTTAAACAAAAGGTAAATCCTGTGATTTTTATGGGAATGTTTTGTGTTAATGCTCACAGTTAGTACGTATGAATGAGAGAGCTACCGCAACTCATTCTCCACGACAAAAAAAGCAGTTACTTTTATTCTGCTGTTATATTCAAGACATTTCCTTCAAACACTACTTGAAGTTGGTGTCGAGTTTTTTTCTTTCTTGAATTTAGACCCCTTGAGGCTGACCAAGAAGTGGATGGTGTCAAGGAGCCTCCTGAAAACACTGGTAACTAGCCTCGTTCTTATGCAGATGACAGACGTATAGATGACGTCATCATTAAATCTTTTTTTAATTCTTTATTATATAAAACAAATAGATTCCAAGTTGCCGTGCGTCTGTTCAGTAACAGATCACAGAGGACGTCAAAATGTGCAACTTGGAATCTATTTGTTGAATATATCTCATGATGAGCCCTAGAAGTTGATAAGTCTTTCTCATAGCTCTCAAAGAATTTACACGTTGTGTCATTCGCTGATTCGATCTTGTTCGATCTTGTCAACATGGCCTACCTAACAGATTTGATGTATCTTTTTTTTTTCTTCACTAATAACTGGTGACACCAAAGATCGTATCTACTGGAAAATGATTATTTAAGATTAAATCTGTGTTTTTGATTCGTGTTTCTCTCACAGATGGACCAGAACCTCTGAAGGAGAATGATCTCAGAACTGCAGGATTTGTCGTTGAAATTTTTGGTGAGGACTTGGTAAGTGCTTGATGAATAATCACTTTGTTTCGCGTGTATTTAAGTATGAGAAATTGGCTAAACTGCAGAATACCCGGCCACTTTGGTCCGCCTCACTTACATGTGTCGGGAGACTTTGAAGACCGAGGCTTAACACAATATACGCTATTCTTATTCAATGACATGTAAATGAGTGGCCGGGTATTCTGCAGTTGCTCCGAGAAATTTTCCATTGAGTGTCGAAAGTAAACCAAGATTGCGTTAGTTTTACTCTACTTTGCTCTGTGATTGGTCCAGAAAACTTACGCCACTCTTAAGTTAAAACCAATCACGTCTTGGTCGCCCGCGTTTTCCCGCGCTTTATTCAGTTTGTTTGTTTTTACTTTGAGTTCTCATTGGCTCTTAATAGTATTTTCCTTTCTTTTGATTGGCCGTTGTGATTAGTTTGGAAAAACGTTTAAAACCCTAAGAGGTACAGTTATTCATGGAGCGTTTTTCGCTGTTTTCGATTTAGGTTCAACATGCTTATTCAAAACAATGGAAATATCGTCAGGAAGCAATGGAGAACGTCGAAAAGGAAATGTCCTCTGACACACCTCAGCTCATATCAGACAAGGATCCCAAAGCAGTTGTCAAGGCAACAGTGTTCCTGGTACAAAAAGGAATCAAGGATCAAGTGTTTTCCGTAAGACCGTGAAGTTTTAATTTTTTTTTCTCAAGAATGGTACAAAAATCTTGCGAAAACAATTACATTTCATGTTTTTCCAGGTCTTCAGTGTCTCCCTAGAGGTGTTGCGCTCTTTGGTAAAGACTTACATTCCTCAACACAAGTAAGAATCTAACTTGATTGTTCTTTGAGTAATTTTCAATTGAGTGTGGAAAGTAATGTGGGATTGCTTTGGTTTTGCTTAAATTCTCTCTCTGATTGGTTTAAAAACTCGTTCCATATTCTTAACCAATAAGACGCCAAACGAAAACCAATCTAGACTTGGTCGCCCGCGTTTTCCCGCGGTTTTGGAAGATGGTCTGTTTTTACTTTGAGTCTTTATCGTCTAATGATTGCACAGAACTTTCTTATGATTGACTGTTTGGATTTACATTGTTTTTCTTTTTTTTATTTACAAAAGCCAATTGAAAACTGCTCTAATTTACTTTACCAATTCGTCCTTCTTTTCAATACGTGTTGGATCTCCTCAAGATTTGAAACTTTGAAGCACACCTTTAACTAATATAAAATAAATCACTGAGTTTTTCCTTATTTACCCCAGGCTGGCAAAGTCAGAAATATCGCATGTTGCAGAAAAGGTGCGTGAAACATAAAGACATTTTCTTATGACCACCTGTTTTCCATGAATTTTGAGCGTAATTCCTTCATCCCAGCAAATTTGAAAAATGTGTTTCAGTTTTGCGGAGCCTGATAAAAATTACGGAGCCTCACTTGTGCTTTGCAGAAAAAACCTCTCCTTGGCTGATGAATGTTTGCATGAATGCATGGAAATCTAATTTTGGTTTGAACATAGTTCGCGCTGATCTTGGAACTATAAACTTTTTTTGTATTCCTTTTACAGACAACTCCTCCACTGCTGACAAAATCTGGTGAAATGGTTAGTTGCACGTCACATATGTTTTATATATGAAATAATATCTATTTGTGAATTGACCGAAACAACTTTACCTGACAACTCTCCTTCCTTCCTTGAGACAATTGTGCGAAGCGTTTATATGGAGTTGTGATTTGTAACAGCTGTCTCCTCACCATTCTCTCTAGTGACAGTTAGGCGGGTTACATATTGGACAAAATTTGAGCCGTCTCGTCTCGGGCAGAGAGGGGGGGGGGCTCTCGGGTCGCCAAGATTGCCCCACAAGTGATGTATAGGTCTTCTTCATTTCGAAGATTCAGGGCGAATTACGAAATAATTAGTGTCGCGGATTTCGCCCACACTCCATTTTATGGTTTCTTGAATGCAGTTTAAAAGTGGTTCTATTTGCACTGTCACATCTTTCTTATGTACTTCTGGTTTTTTCTTATCTGCTCTTTTTTTGGCCTGAATAAAAATTCCTGTTTTTAGTATTGATTTTTTTCTCTAGGCTGCGAGAAGTCGCGATGTTGCCACTGCTATGATAATGGAGTTAGCTGTACACAAAGATATTAAGGTTTAAGATCTGCTGTTTACGTATAACATGCCTGAGTATGTTTGATGAGAAATAGTGGAGCAATAGATAGCACTTTCTTTGGGTTTAGGCGTGGTGTTAAACTACGTAGGATGATGGCAGACACGAGAAAAGTTTTATATATATATATATAGATAAATACGAGCCGGAGGCGAATTATTTACAAACCTTTCGAGGGTAAACTGATAGAAACAGGGTCTATCGCTCCTTAGATTACTCTTTGATTTTCTATGATGCAATAAACGGCTTTTGACCAATCAGGGCGCCCGCAGTATCTCGCTTATTATAAATACTGTTTAGTGCTTGAAATTGTTGTTTCATCTTCTTTAGTGATAATTGCTTTATAGAAAGTGAAATCTTGGATGCAATCGTGCATTCTTACAGAAATCTTCCTCTTCTCTGAAAAATCAGAAAATTTGCTCAAGTAGAAACACTCGGTTACAAAATTTTACTTTTTTTTTTCTAGCTTCTGGGTGTTATACCGGACCATGCAACACGGCCATTTAAAGCCAAACAGCAAGTTTCAGTAAGTGAAGTTTACACTTTTATAAGTGAACTAAGCAAACTATACAGGCTATCAAGTAACATGTTGATTTTAGTTCTGTTATGTTTTGTTTTTATTTCTATTTGTTTGTTATTTTGTTTTGTTTTTTTATTTTTGTTGGTTTGCTGGTCCGTTGGTTTTTTGGGACCACATTATGTGCTGTTAGTTGAGGAAAACACGTTTATCTCACGGTGTTTGGGGTGCAATAAGGATCCCAGCCACAGAATTACTGTACAGCTACTTTGATAGAAGAATAGAGAAATTCATCTATTTGCCTATTCTTACATAAATTTTTTTGCGGCATTTAACAAACTTTCCTAAAACGAAATGAAAGAATACCATCACACTGATGGAAAACTAATAAATAAAAATAAACTCACACTTGCAAAGATGACGTTTGAATTCTAACTTTTGTTGGAAAGTTTGATATTTTTCTGTAAATCGTTCCATTCTAGCCCAGGATGTACAAAAGCAGGATTGAGATTATCGAAAAGCTTCTTGGAGTACTGGAATTAGACTCTGATAAACCTGGGTAAGTTTTGGATTGCTACCAACTGTCATCCCTGAGTTAGTTTCAATTCAGTTTATCCAAGAAATCTTCCTCCTAACCTTTTTTCTTTTTGAAACATGACACGCACAGTTTCAAAAGGACCCTCTATGCTACATGAACAATTACTTCCCTAGAAACTCGTATATTCCATAATTGAGCCGAATTTCGAATTTCTGCAAACTGTTCCTTCAGTCAATTAATTCTGAGAAATTTGTTTCTGTTCCCTCTAGGAGCCTTTCCACCGGAAATATAATGAGGGTAAGATCTAACTTTAAATGATAAGCTGGTTGGTTCTCACTAATTGAACCTATGGCAGGACAGGCGCATATTTAACGTCACCATTAACTATTTTTTGCTTCTTTGTTGTAAAAACTAGATGTTATGATTAACAAGTAGATTAAAAAGTAAATGTCTGTTTTTTAGTGAGGATAATTTACTGATTTGTCACCAGGTTGTGTTACCGGCACTAGAACATACCAGTGGTGACGTAAGAGATCCAGCCTCACGCTTGGTCCTGGAACTGTACAAGAAGGTATAGGAATTTCACCTTTCTTGTTCCTGGTTGTTTGGAAACGTTAACGGTGGACATAAAGGGAATTGCTTTAGGAACAGTCATAATTATGGCCCATTCTTTAGGAACCTGACCACGCAGGCTGCAGTTTTCTGATAGGGTTGATTATTTATAGTGCAATGGTAGAATGTAGAAAACATGTAATAAGAACTAAACTTTAGTTAAACAAGCTCAGTAATCGTACAGTTATAGAAGAGACTTGCAGTTCGGTGTGATGTCAGTTTTCATACCAAAACTTTTGTTGTTTATATTAAGGGCAATTACCTGCATAGATTTTTATTATTGGTATTTGTGCATAATGGCCCATCCTTTAATTGATTTTCACGTTTATTTGTTTTATTTTTTTTAAAGGTGAAAGACGCTGTTCGAGATTATCTACCACCTGATGAGCCGGCCACCAGGAAAAACCCGCTCTACAGAAACCTGTTTGACGGGTTTGATAGGATCGATGGAAAGCCAACAGAAGCTGAGAGAAAGGTATGGATATTTGTGGAAGAGTTGTGAATGCTTTGTTATAGTGTCACTAATCAAAATATGTTTGCAGTTGCAATTTTTTATGTTTCTGAGGGATGGAAGGTTATGGCGAGGGTTGGCCTCGTGCTCGAGCCATACTTGCTTCTGCTCGCATTAGAAACGCACTAAAGGAAGAAAATATTTATGCCAGTTTGAAATCATTTCACCTTTTCATTTCTTCATAGGCAAAAGCAAAGACAGCGGCTGCAAACTCAGAAAAAGCCAAGCAGGCCGAGGTACAGAAAGCGACCTACGAAATCATTAAATTCTACCTTGTAGTTCAGTCTCATCTCTCGCTGATGTTTGTGTTTCACAAATGCGTTCTTAATCTTTAACGAAAAAAAAAACCTTAGGTCATTTGTCGCACGATGTAACTGTTTGAGAACAGCTCAAAGAGGTAGACCTCTAAAGAAAAAGAAATGCTGCTTGCTTAGCATACTTGTTTAGCAAAGCACAAGAAAGACTCTACCGGTTTTAAGTGGATAATCTCAGGAAGCAGAAACTGACTCTCCGCAACTGGAGCTTCATGTCTCCTTTTACAAATAAATGTAAATACAGTTTGAAAAGGAATTCATGAAAAAATAATTATTAAATCAGGGTGGTAGTGAATTGCACTTTCTTGCTTTAAGAGCATCTGTTAAGAGAAATGTTTTTCTCCCTCTTCAGATTGCGGCATTACAGGCTCAACTTCAAGCGCTTAGAGATATGGCTGGGGTTCGTATATAACCTGTACTTACAACTACTAAATGACGGTATCTTGATGTTGTGCTTATTCTCCCTACTGTTCCCTACACATTATTTATGGTGCTGACAAGGAGAATTTGTTTAACAATCAAGACCTTCTTTTTTTGGTGATCGTTTTCTTTATTCTCCTGACTTTAATGTTTGAAACAGAGAGACGCTTGTGGTCCAAAATTTAAATATTTTACTTTAAACACCATTCTTTGACATTTAAATAGAATCTGAAAATTATTATTGGCAGAAAATGTAGTTCTTCCTAAGTAGTGTAGAACTTCAGAGACGAAATATGAAGGTGTCTGATAAATAAAATCTTGTGTTTAGGAGTCGAACAAAGCTGGGAATTCTAAGCCAGCAAAAGGTTAGTACGTGCAGTGCGGTGATTTGTTTACTATAGAAAAGTGTGCCATTACTAATAGACAGGCATTTTATTCTATTGATATGTCTGATTCTTAAGCTGTAGTCTTTTGTCATATTGAACTGTTATTTTTGTCACAAATTGATAAGAACAAAGAGATTGATTCACTGACTTACCGGCTGACTGACTGAGTGGCTTGTTGGCGGGTTTGAAGACTGACTGACTGACTGGCCTGTTGGTTGGTTAGCTGACAGACTGACTGACCAGCTTGTTTGGGGGTTGGCTGACTGATTAACTGGCTGGCTGACTGACTGACCAACTGGCTTCTTGGCTAGCCAGCTGACTTGCCAACAGACCGGCTGATTGGTTCACCGGCTGGTTGAATGACTGACTGACAGACTGATTTGCTGGCTGCCCGGCTCGCCAGCTGACTGGCAAACGGACCTACTGACTGACTTGCTTTTTACTGACAGACTGACTGACTGAATGACAAACGCGATTATTTTGATCACAGCATGCCACAAAAATCTGGTCATCCAGATTCCACCTCTTGAAACGACTTATTAGTGCTTCTGTGTCCAAGGGGGTCATGTGACATGCTAAAGAAATCCCATAAAGCATCTTGGGCCTACAGTCTTACAGTGGAGACTGTATGGTAGTGTGCCTTTATACAAACTGTTAATACTTTGAACAGGATAACCTCGTTGCTCTCTGCTTGATGAGAAATTGTCAGGTTTACCAGTACCAATAATTTCGATATTTTGTTTTGTTGTTTGCAGAAGAACAGATTGACGTAGACAGGTATTATGCTTGCTAAGTATTACATTTAGTACTTAAATTAAGTGATATACCTCTGGTAACCACAGTTATGCGGCTGTGATAAGTCGATTGTTTTATCATGTCTTGTTATGATACATGTTTTCTCAGTGAATGTCATCGTATGATTTTAAAGACTTTATTTTATTCGTTGGCGAATATGAAAACCATCACCAAAACCTTTAGAGTGCAGTTTCCTTGTGTTAAATCATGGGTGTTAAATGCTAGCAATTCCTGCTTGCCGTTTACCCGCCCTGAAGGTTTTTTGTATCGCAAGAAGTTCTTTAAAATGAATTTTTCACATATCGCCCTTGATTTTCTAAAACGCCAATCAGATCTGTCCCCTTGTTAAGCTCAGGTTGTAGAGCGCCGGACTGCTGTGTGGAAGGTCGAGGACTCAAGCCCCAGACTTGACCAACACTCAGGGTCTTAAAATAACTGAGGAGAATGTGCTGCCTTTGCTATCACATCTGCAAGTGGTTAGACAATCTAGTCTTCTCGGATTAGGATGGATAAGGATGAAGTCCCCCGCAAAGTCTTGCAAAGCGCCATGGATATGGTGCTATAGAAATATTTCATTGTTATCATTATCATTATTTTTAGTTATTACTATTATTATTGTTATTGTTATTATTATTGTTGTTATAATTTTGTAGGCTGCAGAATACCCGTTGTCCAAAACTGCGGCCAAAACAAATCCTTGAAAGTAAATAGTTGGTGATCTCTGGACAAGGAGAACCACTCGATAAAATCAATTGATTTTAGATCAAGACATCACTCATTGCTTATTTCTCTCTGTCTATTCTGGATACCATACAGAATGTGTATCTTCTGCGGTGAGAAGAACGAATCTTTCACAGAAGAGATGTTGGATATGCATTACTGGAAGAGCTGTCCCATGTTAAAAAGATGTGACCATTGTGCTCAGGTAACTTACCCTCCCCTCTCTGACTTGTCAACACAAATGTTGTCCTATAAGTAAAATAACTGTTGCTCACCATCTTCTCTCCCTTGCCTCCCCCTCCCGTCAGGTGATTGAAATCTCTGGTGTGAGTGAACATCTTCTGACTGAGTGTGAGTCCAGTGGCAAATTTGCTCAGTGTCCTCGATGTAAGGACGCCGTTCTTAAAGTGGATCTTGAAGAGCACTTTGCCAAAAAAAAATGCAGCCGTAAGTTCTTTGTTTGTTGCTCTGCAACGAAATGAGCTCCTTACAAGCTAAAGTGCATCATAGTCGTCGTTTTAACGTTGTTTTTGTAACAACCTAATATCCCTAATATCAGCGTTTATATTGTCCATACTGTTTTTTATACATTTGTGTGGCACAGACAGGGATAATGTAGTCAAAAATCAAAGAGATTTTCAAGTATCATTTCTGGAACTCACATGAGCGTAATGTTTCATTCAGCAGTGATACTTTAGTGAGATATTAGCTGCTAGTCACCCTCAGGGGTTAAGGGGTATTAGGATACAACTTTTTGGAACATTTTTTAAACTTTGCTTGGAATCCTTACCAAAAATGTCTTCGACAAAAATATTTAAGGGGCGAAATCTTCCTCTTCAACCAGGCACACCGTTGGCTGACACTTGAGGTTCTCCAACGCGTCACACCTTCTTCATTCAAATGTCATTTTTAATAGGTTTTCTTTTATCTGTACGAATTTTGACGTTTGTTTTCATTGCACCTTCAAGAAATATTCCTTTCGTTTCTTACCGTTTCTGCTGCTCATGGCTGACATGATTACATTCTTTTTCTAATGACACAAATGGTTTCTTTAGCATCCCAAGGTCCCCGCTGTGTTCTGTGTAACAAAACTCTCGGCAAAGGAGACGAGGTGAGGTCCATCGAAACAGTCTCTATCTCGTTTATTTGCCGTTTAACGGTGATGTTATGAGTGTTTGCCAATGAAGGTAACCTTTGCCTTTTTCTTACTTGTTTTTTAGGCCTGGAGCAAACATCTGAAAGAAGAATGTGCTCCAAACAAAGCGAGACTACAGCAGCAATCAGGTAAACTTACAGGCGAACAAGAAACAGAGCTATAGTGTAAGACTGGGTGTTCAGATCCAGTCGTGAATGAATTAACTTTATCGACCCACGGTATCCACCATCAATAAAAGGTGCTCTTCCAAGGAGCTGTACACTACGATTCATTGTGACTAGCTTGCCATGTTTTTGAAATGTTATTTTTTCATCATTTATTTTGCACTCCAACAAAATTCTTGCAGTTTGCTTTATTGCTTACATCTCATAGTTCAGTCGATGCTACTTAAGTTATTCAACTCCACTGGAATTTTTCTTATTATGAAATCAGTCTTTAAAAGGTGTGGCTTTTTAAGGTTACGCTCAAGTTTCCATATTTTGCTTGATAAAACTCACGTTTTCCTGTATTATCGTATTCAGTCAGCAAAGCTCCAAGCCAAGCAAGTTTGAGGAGTACCCGAGGTAGAGGAGGGAAGACCACACCCCTTGGAAGAGGCGTAGGAAAGGGGAGAGGTAAAGGAGGTGTCGTCAAGCTCAGATAATACACGGCTGGCAGTGGACGTCATCGTTAGGAAATAAGTAAACCATAATAATCTTGAATTTTGGCGCCTTATTTTACCATGTGAACCTTCTCTCTGAAATATTGGAAGTAACATCACGTCTCACTTTTAAATCCATAGTGATTCTCTTCTAGGCATGTTAATATTCGCGCCATATTTTAATGTATAAAACTGTCCGATCTTCGAATGTTGTGAAGTCCTGCTATCGCGATGTTTTCGTCTTTCGAAGTCGAGCGAGGACATCTGTTGGTATATCACTGTAATTTTGCCAAAGGGCATCTTCAGGGATACTCCGCTACCCTTCCCTGCTTAGCATTTCAAAGCCTTTTTCACTGACTCCAGGGGTGTAAGGTGTAGAGTCAGGACTATAACAGACAATCTTTTTGGTCAATCGCCCCGTGTAAACTTCCCAAAGTATCGCTTCTCCATTTGACTGATGTGTATAGTGACTATTTAATGACGTATGGTGCCAATCATGTGGGATAAAAAATGTCGTGCAGGTGTGTCTTACTTTTATTTATACTTGATTCATATCATCCCGACAGTTTGCTTGCAAAGATTAAATTGTACAGTAATTTTCTACTGCCGCTAACTCTAGATATATTAAGTTTTAACACGTTTAATGTGGTATTGCTGCTTTGTGTTTGGTTTACAATGTGTCAATTTATTAAATACAACTTTGTAACTTGACAGTTTCCATTGTGTGCAATGAACATGGGACATGGGTGAAGCCCACTACAAACTTCAACTTCGTTTACTATTGTCGCAAACTTACTGTGTCCTCCAAATCTCCTCGAAATGCACAATCCATCAAGTATACTACAATAGCTCTCTGTCGGTAGAGCTTTCCAGTCTCTTCCGAGAACAGCAACTATTACTCCTAGATGACTGATTCCCTACAAACATTTACAATGTCTTCCATAACATTTGGGAAGCCTACAGCACAACTATTTTGGTAACCATAATTAAATAACCTAACAGAATGTTCTAGACGTTACTATGGGATGACATTAGAAAGTTCGAGTATCCTTACTACCCCGTCTTTTAAATCACTAACCACAACAACTTATTTCTTTTTACTTAATAACTGAGCATAAATTACTGTGTGAATGAAAAGAAACTAGGCTCTGTTTGTTCAGGTATAGGAGAACAGACTTAAAGTTTTCTTCGTTAATGAGTTCGTCCGCCTACTGTTTCGAAAGGTCGACCGACCCATCGATTTGTTTCGTCATAATTTTCTTAATCGCGTTGTTCTGTGTAGTCCGCCCGTTCCTTGGTCTGTTGATCTGTCATGTTGTCTACGTTTTGGACGGATTACTAGAAATACCAAGCGTATGCATCAGCACATGTGTGACCGCTGTTGTTTTCTTCATCGCAATCCACAAGATCGTGTCCAAGCCAAATCCTGAACTCCTCACCAATTTTCACCCAAAGCGGTGACTCAAGGCCCTCAAAGATCAATTCCTTGGAGTTCACTTCAACTCCGCTGATCTTGTATGCGTAGTATCGACACAAAGCTCCAGTGTTGCTAATTGTCTCGGAGTAATTCGCAATCGGAAGAGCAGTGTTATTCGAGAAAGTTATGACAGTAGTTAAGATATCAGGCTCATTATTTCTGTTTAAACAACCCCAATAGGCAGCCGGGAAATTTCGGTTGCATTTTATGCCGCGGCCGCGTCTATGGACGAGTTTGAAGGTGTCGATAAACCCGTCCTCTTTAATGGTGAATGCTCCATATCTGTCATCAAGCGCGCTAAAGCACACTGGGTCATCATTGATTTTCCTCCATCCACCTGTCCTGACTAAGGAAAAGAAGACAAATTGAGTCCTAGAAGCATCTATGAGGTAATGAGTAATCTCGTACCCAGATTCTACCGTGTAACTGCTACTGAAATTACGACCGCTTGGCCGTGAGAGGTCTAAGTACAAGATTAAGTAACAAGCTCGCTATGCGAGAACCCCTTACCTTCCCCCCCTCCCTCCCCCCCCCTCCCCAAATTTTTATGAACAACTCAGCTATATTTAACATTCTTACCTGGCTCACAATGTTCTCCAGAGAAACCTTGGAAACATTGGCAGCGGTGCTCATTATCAGATGCATCGATGATACATTTTTTATTTTCAGGGCACGGGTTACTGGAGCAATCGTTCTGTTACATACGAAAAATGAAGCATAAATAAGCAAAACTCTCCTTTAACTTGATTCAGCATCAGCGTGTACGATGTATTAGTTTGATCTGATGATCAAATCGCGCCTTGTTACGTAACAAATAAAAATAATCTTACTCCGAGAGGTGTAGTCTTTGTTTTATCTTTCCCGTTATGCTTGGTTTTTTCTTTATAATTGAGAATAAATGAATCGATTTTGCCGGTGTAATCACCGCTTGCTTTCGTTGACAGAACCGTTGGATTGTGAGGGTTACATCAAAAACTGTTTTCTTGCTGGTGTTTACAAGAATTTCCTGTACCATTTGTGGTTGATAATGTAGATTTAGAAAAAAGAAAAACGGCAATGAGTCTAACACAACGAGATTTAATGTAATATAGACACCATTAAGATCGAGTATATAGTTGTAACTCATATCTCGTTGCATCATGGGAGCAATACCATCATGTACAAAGGGCACTGTAGATTACGTCATTTCATTTCATCAGCATTTGCTAGCAGTTAAATACCTCAGTTCCTCCGTAGCTAAACCCCAGTCGTTGCTGTAGGTCACGAGGGTGTTGTTTATGGTCTGAATCGCTCAGCTCACATTTGTGGCGCACATTCCCCTGGTCACCATAGTTGTAAGACAAGCACCGGTTGTCAAGGTAACATTCGATTTCACAGACATCTGGGCTTCCCACTGAAATGTTCTTGATCACGTGATTTACGAGAGCTTTTCCTACCTTGGGTGAAGCGAACTGAAGCACTCTACAACCTTGAACTGAAACATCAGGCACAGTTATCTAAGATGTAGCTGAAAATAATGAATGATTATTTGGTTGATCATCTTTTATTGTGAAACGGAGCAGTTGAAATTTTCGGTGTAACATTAATTAATAATCATACGAATTTGTCAGCATCATCTAATTTTTTTTCCTTTTCGAGGAAACGTCTCCTGATCAATTAACTTTTCAAATTCAGAGAGCAATTTCGACCTTTCTTACAAATCTCGAGCGGGAGCCTTAATCGTGGAGGTGAGTTTGCACTGATTTCAACCTCGAAGTTGTTCACACAAATACCCTCGGTAGATTGAAGACATTTCTTCTTCTCTCCGAAGCTATTCGCGTTAAAAAATCCTAAAAATCGTGGAAGAAAATGCTCGCTCGCAACTACTATGATTAAAGCAGGAGCTGATCAAATTTACAAAATTTATTTTTAATGAATGTGATTTTATGAAAATCTTATGCGTGAGCTGCAGGTTATTAAATGAGTATGAATGATCTCCACAGAAATGAACACTACTCAGGTCATAGTGAAACAAAGTTGGTAGAGCATTGTACCGGTATCGGCAAAGGTCGTGGGTTCATCTCCCTCATAGGCCTGAATTTTTTGAAGATCGCTTAAATTTAAGATTGATTTTCTAGGATTCATTAACTTTTCTTGACAACAAAGAGAAATTGTTGGCGCAATATTTTAGCCATAGAGTAAATTCTAATTAAGCAAGCTTTTTCGAAAAACTGAGTTTACTCTATGTTGGCCTCGTTTCTTTCTTGCAACTCTTATAAAGTTCGGCCTCGCTAAGAGACAGAAAAGAAGTTGGCTGAGATCCATTAATCTCGGCTCCTTTACAAGTTTACATAGGAGCGCGTTTCTGCTTGCTGACTGCAGTTATCCTCTTGAGATAATTTCCTGACCCCTTGAAACATCTTAGTAATGTTTGAATTTGTTAAATTCAACCAGATTTTTTTTGCAAGTTAAGTAACATTTTCATTTTTAAACGTTTAGTTCCCAGCAGGATGCTTAATTACTATCAAATTAGCACACTGTATTCCAAAGTTTAAAGGTTTTTCAGACTCCTGATGAACTAACTATGCATTTGATCACTGCTTTTGCACATCAGACGATAGTGTAAATTATACTGCCTATATCAAAGAACTCTTCCTTGTATTCCAAGGTCTGAAGCAATTAATAATTTGTCCTGCAGTTGTTATTCACAGGACTTTGTCTAGACAAGAATATAATTTCATGGTTGAATGCATTTGCTTCCGAATTTGTTTGAACTTCCATCGATACTTCTGTCTTTTTATTTTACATTCAAAAGAAAATGTACTTGCCTTTGAAAAAGAAAAGAAAATTACAAAAATTGTTAAGGAGCAAGAAATTCAAACTTAGGTCAAAAGAGCTATGCACAGTTGATTGTGTAAAGACTGAATTTTTCGATTTTGTCTGAGAGGATTCCTCATTTTGTTAACTTCTTACCATTCAAAGCTTCTCCAAACATCCAGATACTGCAGATTGCCAACGATACGATTCCTGTAAAATATCTTTGTCCCATCTTCATGGATGTTATATCTTCTTCTCTGCTTATTGTTGGCAAATAATTCTTCTCTCCTGGCTTCAGAAAAATGAAAAAAAGAGAAGATTGAGGCATAACCCTCTTGAATAATTTATGTCTAACTAAAAAACAACCTTTGCCAAGCAGAAATTTATTGAAATATTTATGACATGACTCTGTTAATGAAAATTTCCAATGAAAAATGAAAAACAGTCGTTGCATTACTATGAAGGATTTCAAATGGTTTAAGTTGTTTCAGCGTGTTGGAAAGATGCGATTTCAGAAGCATGAATAACGTTTTGAAAGTTCATCTATAGCCAATAGCATGATTTGAAAAAAGCTGTGAAGTATTCAAATGACTTTCAACTTATCACTGGTGGATTCACAGCTTAGCACATTATTTGGCACAAGACAATTGCATGAAGCATTTCAAACGATTTTTTCTCCGGGCGGGTGTCTGAGGGCAGGCAAGGTTAGAAAATACTACTCCGTGGGAAAGCTAAGCAACTGTACCAATCACGGTATTGACTAGAGCTAGCTTCAAACATAGCATGAGTCGGAGCGGCGGAGGTATAGGAGATACACTAATAAAAAATGGAAATTATAGGGATTTGGCAGGGAGTTCAACAGGGCCAGGAATGATAAAAGAAACATCTGGGTAGAGGGAGAACAACCAAAATACAGAGGGCATGGTAATCAGTGCAATGATCATTTCTTATTGCTCGATCATCCTACGTAAGTATATTTCTTTGGCAAGTAAAGTTATCTTGCAATTTTTTAAAGCTTACGACTTCCCTGCACCCCGAGCGACGAGATGCACTGGACTGTCATTGCTTTAGGTTTGTAATTTGTTAGTGTATCACTGTAATTGTGTAATCCCCCCCCCCCTCTCTACTCGCATCTCTAATCGGTATTCTTGGACCCTGAGTGTTTTACGATGGTGTACCGACGCTGTTCTAACTAAATTCAATAACCAAGTGGCCCCAAAAATCCCGAGGAAAATCTTCTCTGTCCTCTTGATCGGTAGGGTGATTGCGTGACGGTGTCTTGTACAATGCTATGTTAAACAACAAATGCACCTGGGCTTTTCTTTCGCTATTTATTTTTGATTTACACCAACTCTTGCAAAGGTAATAAAAAATGTTTTGCTTCATCGCTTTCTTTCGTCCGC